CTAGCTCTTATAATTTGATAACAAATTGAAGCAGTTCAGACTGGAATATATAAATACAAGACTACGTTAGTATTCTTCCAACGAACTGCAGTGTATATAAGGAAGTCGCGATTTGTGCAACTTTTTTTTCTGGATCTAATACCAACGTATTTCTTCCCTGTAATCTGAAACTAGCCGTGTGGTTTAAATTGCAACCGCATCTATTATTTTTATCTGTAAGAGCAATGGACGGAATGGATAGTTTAATATTTTATACAGTTTCTCAATTGAAAGACGTAATTTGTTTCGAATACAATATTATTCTTTTCTTAATAATTTTGTGTGGCATTGAACCTGATACTTTTGCGTTTGTGAAGCAATTTATTTCTAAAACTTAATTTTTCATATTTCAATTCAAATGTTATTATGATTTGTGAATGCTTAGAGTTATGCATGGTTATTTATTCTCGCTCATACAATTACTATAATATTCATACTTCGAATTATGTCGATGCCTTAAAACATTGCCTTTAAGAAGATATAAATGAAAACTTGCCAATACCACATTATCTTATATATATATATATATATATATATATATATATATATATATATATATATATATATATTTATATATATATATCTGTATGTAACTACGCTTCTAATTATGAATTTTTTGTTTTGATTGAAAAGCAGTGAATAAAATATATAAAAGCTGGAAAGCCAATGCAGAAAAATAACGTCAATTAGAAATACAATCTATATCGGCGAGTGGACATCGCTGCGGTTCGTACTAGTTACATAATAGTGTGGACGTCGTGCAGTGCGGTCAGCGACCGGAGCACTTCCCCGCCGGATCAGGATCGCTACGGCTCCCGCAGTTGATCAAAGCTCGAAATAACGTTGATATTATCCACGCTGTCAACGATCGCCGAGACAATCGGAATAAGTCACGTTGCTGTGTGATTGTTTCACAATCATTGAAATCCGATCGTTACCCCATAGTTGCGAAAGTACACAATCGAAGGAAGTTCAAATTGTGTCCATTTTTGTACACTTTATCTAAATTGAAGACCTATAATAAATACATATTGTACAGCTTTCGATGCCTGTGCAGCTTTTGCCACGTTGTGCTCCTTTGAGTATATAAGACATCAACGCGTTCAAAATCTTAGTTATTTTATTAATGAATACCTGGAGGACCAGAGCTTTGCTCGTTTTTTTTTTTGGTAAATCGTGTATTTTGGAAATTACATTTAGATACAAATTACTGAGTAATGAAATATATATAACATTTTTCGATCTTACCCACGTAATAATAAGAAAATATGATCTGGTGTTTTCCACAAACGAAAGAACAAAATAGTCTGGATCGACAAAAAATAAAAAATAAAGAAAGCAATGATCTGGAATCGAAAAAAAAGTAAAAAAATAAGTGTGTAAATGATCGTGACACGAACCACGGCCTTCTGTTTCGGGGCCGAACTAATACCGACCGAGCTATTAAAAAAAATATTTTCGGTGAAATTTACCGTCGTATCCAAGTGATATTTTTCATTCCCTGAAAACTGGGATAAAACTACATTTTCTAAAAATGAAACCTAGCCAGATCGATTTTTCGCCCCCGAATCTACGCACATACTAAATTTCATGAAAATCGCTGTAGCCGTTTCCGAGATTCCGATTATATATATATATATATATATATATATATATATGTGTATGCTCGTTTAAAGGTATAAGATTTTAAAGGTATTATTAAATGCAACAATAGGATAATTACTTTAACGTTATTTGTTTTAAATAAGTTTGTTTCAAATAGGACAACTACAATTAAATTAAACGTTGAAAGTGCATTAACCATGTATACCATCGTTGCATACACTTGGAAAATTTAGTAGATGTGAAAATAAAAGTTAATTAGCAAGTTACAAGCGCACTATTGATCGAGAGGCAGTTCGGTTATTTTCAAAAGAAAATTAAATACTGATTGCCTTAACCTACTCTGGATTTTTTTTAGTTCACCCGTTTAGGACTTATTTGTTATTAGAGGCGTTAAATTTGGTGCGATAGCGTATCGAGGCGAGTCCGGATTCTGTTGTTTGCGAAAAGAATTCTAACGGGGCACCTCCATGTCGGGCGTTGGTATTGTTACCGAGTGGCTTAATGCTATTTAAGATAAAATCGCAAATGAAATTGGAACAACGCGATTAGTTTATTTTAGTTCGTAGCTTCGATGTTCACTTGCTTGCGTGAGTCTACTTAGCACTATTGAAATGTCCCATTGATATAAAATTTCTTAAAACTGTCTTAAAAAGGGCAGAGCCGCGCAAAAGTCTTCATTGTTGTACAAATGGGCAGGTCCGTCCAGGTAAGAATCATGACCTCACAGAAGACTGGCGTGAAGTGTAAGTGGTATACTTTTGCGTTTCGTCTGGTGAGTGAGGTACTTGGGGTCTCCTTTATTATAAGGTGTTGCAAATGTCAAATGGCGGTGGTCATCACTTAATAGCAGTCGAACCACTAGCTCACTTGCCACCTTCTCACATAATATTAGAAAAAACATTAAGTATGACAACATTATTCTAAAAATAACTAATCACAAATTGTAGTATTTTAGAGATGTGAGTAGTTACAATAAAGTCCATTCTACTACTACGATCCATTATAGCCTGACCTGTTTTCTTACTTTCAATAATATAGTACTAAATTAAGCATTCGAAAAATAATCATCAGATTTCAGCGCATTAAACGTTAGATTACAAGTTATTTTTAACCACTTTTTAATACCTATACTTATTCTACTAGGTTTTTTTAACGAGTAAATAGCTGTGAAGCATTTGCCCCTAATTAAATATTTTAAGTTGCATTTTAAGAGCAAGTTTATTTTCCATGGACAATCGAAAACAAACGCGTCTGAGTGCGTTGTTTTATATCATTACCGTAATATATTAATTAAGCTAACGGTTGAAAGATTACATTAAATAATAAGAGAATGCCCAAATGGCATTAAGTCCGCCTTTTGTAATCCTTTTTTAAGGTTTTGCAATAAAGCATAAATAAAAATAAATAAAAATTAACACATTTAAAACAGAAAGTTGAGAATAAAGCTAATGGAACCGTATTTTATTCATTTTATCTGTGGTAAATTAGAAAAAAAAGTTTCTACAAATATGGTGTTATTACATTGTTTTAATTTTAAATGTAAATGGAATTTGGGTTCCGAAAGTAGTAGTTTAATAATAGTTAGTACTTTTATTTTTATTTAAAGACACTTAGAACTATTATTATTATCGTACTATGCTATAATCTGAAACAACGTGTAGATAATTTCATATCGCATAATCTGAGTAATCCACAACTGGTTTAACCGGGCAAATGTCTGCCCATAATGGACACTTCGTAATTGACGTAATGTAATCTGGTTTATATCAAATTAATGCTCTACTCCATAGTATCATGTTAACAATGTCGTTCAATTACTTCAACGTTGCCTAATCAAGTAACAAATATTTCTATGTAGTGGTCACGTTAAATTAAATCATTATTCTGTTTCTTTTTGTTCTTGCATTGTCCTATTTATAGATAATAAATTTAGAATTATGAACACGTTCCAATATTTACTTCACCTTAGTCTTCAAAACACTGTTTTCAACTACGTATTTCTTCAAGTATTAAAACATCGCTATAAAAGTATTCAAATTTTAAACATCGCTATATAAGTATTCAAATTTAAATTATTGTTTAAATTAATAATAAAATCTAAATAATAAATATAAAAAAATAATAATTAAAATATTAAATCTTGCCATTATTTTAATCATTTATAATTTTTTTTAGAAGATCTTCATTTGGAAATTAATCAATAGTAATAAAGGCGTTTTTGGGTCCTGATATTAAAATGTTATTTATCAATTACACAAATCTTATCCTTTAAACGGGCAAATTTTGTATATATATATATATATAATCGGAATCTCGGAAACGGCTCCAGCGATTTTCATGAATTTTAGTATATGCGTAGATTTGGGGGCGAAAAATCGATCTAGCTAGGTTTCATTTTCAGAAAATGTCCTTTTATCCCTGTTTTCAGGGAATGAAAAATATTATTCGAATATGACGGTAAATTTCGCCGCAAGAGAAAATGTCATAATAGCTCGGTCGGTAAGCGGCTCCAAAACAGAAGGCCGTGGTTCGCGTCACCATCATTTACACATTTATTTTTTTACTTTTTTTCGATTCCAGATCATTGCTTTCTTTATTTTTAATTTTTTATCGATTTCTTTTTTTGTTATTTTTCCCTTTTTTTAAAAGTTCTTTCTTTTGAGAAAAACATCAGTTCATATTTTCTTATTATTAAGTCGGTAATATCGAAAAATATTATGCTTATTTCATTACTCAGTAATTTGTATCTAAATGTAATTTCCAAAATACACGATTTACCAAAAAAATAAACAAACCGAGCAAAGCTCGGTCCTCCGGGAACTGTTATTATTAATCACCAATAGATGAGACATCGTTAAAGAGAGTTATAGGCAGTATTTAAGTATGGATGTATACGATTTTATGTTTTTCGAGTATTGTGCTTTAAGCAATTGAAAACTATTCGGTATTAAAATCAATTTGAACTTTAGTGAGAGCTCTGCAGTGTTCATTCGTAGTTTTCCAATAATTTGGCATAAGGTCCGTTATTTAAAATGTGGGTGCAGTTTATAAGAAAACTTCTCTTTTGGATAGTCAAACAGTATATTTTATTCTTTAAATGAAAGCCTGATCGACTTTCATTTTGTAATAAATCGTCACTTTAAAACTATATTTGATTCATATGTCTCTTAAATGATGCAGTAGTGCAAAATAATAAAATGCAGTTAAGTGAATTCAAATGTGATATCTCATAACATTTACAAAGTTTTTGAGTTAACTCTGTCCGCTTTGTATTCTATGGTACATTAACTTTATAGGTATGGTGCGCTGTATTTGAAATTTAAAAATTTTGTCCTATTTGCAGTAGTTCTTGCGTAATGGTATGTTGGTACGTAAGGGCCGGTGTGTAAAAGCTTTTCAACGTGTACAACGCTGACTACAAATATGCTTTGTGCTAAATAACTGCGCCGGACTGCTTCTTCATTTTCTAAAGCGTTTCTTGTTCGTTTTCTTTTAAACCTATTGAATATTGATTTTGAGAACCTTCTGAAGCATTTAAAAAAAATATCGATTTTTATATATGTCATGAACAACTAATATCCGTGTGGGTGTGAAATATTTTTGGATTGTTATAGTAGCGGTTTTTAGCAAAATTATTCAGTAAACCAGTCTCGGAAATGAGGATAGAAACGGTAAAGTTTCTATCCTCTTAATCTTTTCACGTTCTTCAGACGGGGCATGAAAGTGCGCGTTCGCTATTTCTCACACTTCATTACTCTGCTGTTATTTTACCGCTAAATAGTGCCTAGGACAGGGATAGTTGGAGCGCCGCGGGAGCCCTCCAAAGAGCGGACGGAATGTGCGCACAAGGTCATTGCGCCCTGCGCGGTCATGCACATACCCCTCCCCCCCTACCCCGCATCTCGCGCCTGCCCCTTCTCGCACCCACCACCACAACTTCCAAACGATCAGCTGCGGATAAAGGGGAAGCAACCGAGCCGAAAGGCAATAGGAACCATTTCGAAGCGATTCCTCTTTTATTTCTCTCCCTACGATGGTCTTACGACGTCCGCCGGCAATATTGTTCCTTGCTGTGGCGCTATTTTCTAACATCGTTATGGGTGAACAAAAAAGGACGTTCGAACATCAACCGCTTGTATTTACGATTCTCGCCATGACCGGCATTTATCTTTGTGCTTAAGGCTTCGGTGGCGCACTCAGCGTTCAGACTGTCATTAGAATTAGTGTTTGGACATGAAAGTTTATGGTTTAAAATATCAACATAGCAACTCCATTGTACGCTGCAGTTGATGGAGAGCTAGCATTGTTCGCCAATTTTATGGTAATGTTAAGTCAAAGTACACATATGCCGTTCTTATTTTTTTGCTATGGTAAAAGAGCTATAAACGTATACGTGTAATACCATAATTCAAAAAGGTAAAAGCAGAATAATTAATTGTAGAACTGGTATTGCAAATTTTGTGTTTGTTTTGAAAAATGGTAATAGGATGAAAATCATTGCGAAGGAATTAATTTAAAGAGATGTTTTTTTTTATTTATTTTGTGAAATTTGCCATAACATAATGATGAACAATTAAGGACTAGCCATGAATTATAACAATTGCGATTACTAATAGTTCCTTTATTAATTTTTCTTTCATTTCTTGTTTCAGTGTACAGTCCCTTGTGGAAACATCATTGAGATTTCATCTCAAGGGGGTACGATAAATGTATATGTAATTCAAAGATTTACTTTAGAATAATATTATTGTTTATCATTTTCCAAAAAAATTAATGAGAAAATAAAAAAAGAATGGAATTTCTTATAATAATTGACAAGGATGAAAATTCTTTATAAACATTTTCGTATATTCATTCGGAAGTCCTGTTATTTATTACCCATATTCAAATAGTTTGTATAAACCATAGGAACGACCCTATTGGTCACCTAATAAATCAAAATCATTTATTCATCGACATAAGAAACTTACATTTCATCTATCGATAGTCATATTTTTTTTAATCTACCACCGTTTTCGTAATGAATTCGAAATAGGGACAACGTAGGATTTATTCCTTTTTTATGTTTAGAATGATGCACTCTAATGGTAGATTACGCGACTTCAATACATCTTGCAAGTAATTTACTATTTGAAACTTACAAACGATTTTATTCTTATTTTATGTTACGATTATTACAAGAATTTAAATGCGTTAAAAACGTGGTTCATGTGAGCTGCAGCAAATCACCCACTTGAATGATTTATTTCTCATGACAATTTCACAGGTCTAAAGCTTCCTAAAATCGCGTTTACACTCAGAAAGCATTTTTAAGTATTCATTAAAATTTTTCATTATTTCATTCATATTAATAAATACTGGCAATTTTTTTTTTTGTTTTCCGTTAAATAACATAAATTTTATTTCTTTATTTTCTTGTGTGGTAAATGACATATATTACTTTTTTAAAACTCATTGAGATGTAAGGTGTCAGTTTTATAAGCTCGGTGATAGTAAAGCAGAGGAGGCAGATTCTATAGCGATTAGTTAATTCTGGACTGGAAGGTTTTTTTTAACTTTTCAACATTTTTCATTTAATTTGTTTTTTCATCAAATATAATTAACATAATATTTTATTACTTATTTATTACCTAATAAATAAGCAGACCAATCACAATTCGCTTTGAAATTAGAACGCTATTCTATAAGAGTTTCAATTTGAAAATTTACATCTTCACTGAGGCTATTGCTGGCTTTTGCGTATTGTTTAACGAATAGAATAGGGAACCATTAAAAGTTCGTCATGTCAATTAAGATTAATACCATAATTTTAGTACAGTTCCTAAGTTCCCAAGTGCGGATCATAAAAGTCACCTAAACAGATAGAGACAAGAACAAGGTTAATTTGTCTTAGTCATCAACTGTGTTATAGGAGTCATAAAAGTTAAAGTTGAGGAATAATTTAGGAGTTTATATACATTGAATCATCTATTTGTTACTAAATATAGAGAGAGTTAATTTTATGAGCCATGATAGCAGTGTCTGTGCTGGCTTTTAATTCAATATACTTGATCAACTTGAGTTCAATTCCCGATAGCAGCACCAATGAAGTTGTTAATTACAATGTTAAGTGCTGATTTATTAGGTGCATATTTGTGCATATTTTCGAAATAATATCTAATAATAAATATTTCGAAGATAAGTGAAGTCTGCCAATGCGCAGCGGGGTTGCTTGGTGGCCTATGCCTTAATATCCTCTGTACGAAGGAGGGCTTTGTCCAACAGTGGGACATAATAAATAGGCTGTTACTTTAAGTTTTATGGGATTAGATTTAGATGTGTATACTTCAAAAAGTGTCTTGAAGGTTTTTATAAGTAAGGAAGGAAGAGATACAAAGTCTATCGATATAAAGTGACTGACAAAATACGCTCGTCACAGTTGATCACCGTGAGCCCTTCGACACGCGTGACTGACTTCTATTGCTGCACAGGCACTCGTATAATACCTTACTACGGATGACGGTCATTACCACACGCTTCCCTGTTCTGCCGTCCGCATACGTGTAACTACAGTAGTGAAGCAAAGAAAATTGCCCGTGAGTTAGCAACAAGCCCTCTCAAACAATTTCTGCTTTCGCTATGGCTGGCATTATTACTGGTGAAGAATTTCCTGGAAACGTCTTGCGCTAATCTGATAATAAATTAGTGCCGAGCGAGTCTTATTTCTTCACGGTTGATATGAAATCGAAAGTGCAACGACTTTGTTGTTTCTTCGAAGATTATTTTCATTTAAAAGTTCTGTCGTATTGAAAGTATCTTTGTTAAGATCTCATGTTCTTGTCATATACTAATAATTTATTTTTCTTTCTTTACAGTAATTAGCATTTTAAACATTCAGTTTAAATCCCCATCATCATTCAATCGCAATTAATATATATGGGCAAAAATAATCGTTGTTATCTAATTTTGGCTGTAGAAATAAAGACCCCGACATGAAAATGTGATAACATGTCACCAGGATTTTAACATTGTCCCGATAACTTATAAAATAAGTGATTGAAGAAATACAGGCAGTTATTGTGACTCGATTTACAAGCGCAAATAACACCTGTAGATGAGTTCATAGGTTGCCTAATACTTATTTTATATGAATGTTGTATACATTGTTTTATTCTATTTCTTAAGGGTCCGTTTTTTTCAATAGGCATCAGCAACTTGTTTGAGCATATACAATAGGCGACGGTACGCGTTGCGCCGTCTGTTAACAGCAACGTATATTTATTTCCCTGTCTTTCAAGATTAAGGTGACCAGCTTAAATACATTTTCCAAGTACCATAACTTAAAACTAGACTGCGAGCGAAATCTTTAAGTGCCAAATAAAACAAAAACATAATAAAAATATTCCCTAGTTTTTATGGAGTTCAATATAGATATTCTTATATATTTGAGTATTGTGTAATTAGGTTATTATGAAATAAAAAAATCCAAAGAAAAACAAACCATGATATAAAATTGTACTAACATCAAAAATTTTATAATTACTATCCTAAAATAAAGGATATTTTTAAGTTTTAATATTACAAAAATAGGTCTATGAGAATGACGAGTCTCATTCTGTCTTATTATCTCATTATGTGAAAATCTGTGTACATTACCTTGTCTTACATAATTATTTTACGCAATTCATAGTGTGATGTTTAAGATCTAAAATTCACATTAATTTTTGTATAAAAAGAATTATGTTTACACCATAATAATAGGTGAATATAAAGATATATCGTTCGTAAATTAATAATAATAAAGCAGCAAATGTTGTTAAAGCGGCTTATAGCTTTAAACTTACGCCTAATGTTCTTACCATGTTGGTTCTTGGCTAGTGACAGCTACAAGGCACAGCCTCTGCATTGCTTTGTAAGGCGCCATACTCTAAGATAACATGCAAACTGCATATGCAAAGAAAATCCAAGTCACGGTATTTAATTTACAATCACGACTCACGCATACTTTGTACAATACGTATCACATATTTTTTAAGAATAAAATTCATGTCGACAATCATGAAAATATAGATTTACTTATATTTACGAAGATATTTCTCCGCAATATTCCTCGATACGAAAAGTGTGAGTAAGTAAATTTTACTATTCAATCTAATATAATTCGAACACAGAGCTCTGCAGATAAAAACTTAAGACTTAAAGCTATATACGAAGATATATATATATATATATAGCCTGGAAAGTTTTTGTTCGATCAGCAACATTGTGCGATCGTGAATCGCACGTGAAAGTCCGAGTGTAATTCACACGTATTCGAAAACAGATGGCCCAGTTCGTACCGATAATTGGGTCAGGCGAGCAACCTGTCAGCTTGCTCACACGCATTGTCTTGCTCGCAGCCGTGGTACCGTTACTGCTCGGTCAAGTTCGGCCCATTGCATTATGACGTTTCCACTTGTGACATACGGATGATCAGTAACTACCAATAGCGCACCATTGATTGCTATAATACCAGTATTGTCGTGATTGGATCGTTATTTAGTTTTCAATTGCAATGAAATAAGGGGTTATTTTTATCATAATTTCTGAAGTGAAAACTTCTTTAGGCGCGTTGAGCACTTTTAGAGTCATCGTCTCTGAACGCTTTCCATGAGCTATATGTATACTGTGTATATATGCGTTCTTTTTGGGTTAACAAAAATCATGGAACTCGCGTCATCGTTACCATTTTAAATTTTTTATTTATTTTAATTATTACTATTATATCTATTAATTATTTTTAACTTAAAAATAATTATTAACAATTCTTTTAACACAACAATTAATATATTTTCAAATAAATATATTAATTTTTGTTAAACTACTTAGTTTTCACTTCTAGCGGCAGTCCCCAAAAACTGCCCCGTTTCAGATGTTGCGCGCGGCTTGCTTCGGATTCAGTTTCGCTTATTTTTACTTTTTTTATTTTAACTAGAATTATATTCCAAACCAATAATTAATTGCTTAATTTAACGGTTTAGAATTATACTCCAAACCAATATCGCCACACTCACGTACATAATTATAAAAAGGATAACGTTTTCGATTTCTTTTGTAAAGCGTAATGTTTCTAATTATTCGGACATACCGTGATGTTAAAGTAGGTGAATGTGCACACGTGCCCCTGAATCGTGTTTAAGATCTAAAAACGCCGACTGAGCGGCTATATTCAAAAGATCGTACGCGATGATAATAGTTATATCTGTCTATTTGGTATACAAGATTTATAAAGATAACCTTATGATGGTAATAACCTTTCGTTTAAAGAAACATTTAACGTGCTAGAAAGTCTGACATTTAGGTAAATAAAACTCTTTTTTTTAATGTGAAAAGTTGTCAAGCGAGCAGACGGTTCACCTGATGTTAAGTGAATACCGCCGCCCATGGACATCCGCTACACCTGAGGGTTCGAAATGCGTTGACAATCTTTGAAAATTGGGCTCCGGCCACCTTACTCACCAGACGAAAGGCGAAAGTATTGTACTTCCACTTTACGCCGGTCTACCTTTTATTGTTCAGTATTTAATATTTCAAATGTTTATTTAACTTTGTGTTTTTTAATTATATTTATATAATAAATGCTTATCACTTTTCTAAATAGAATTGTACTTACAGAAAAAAGAACTAGCCAGGAATGTTCAGATAAGTAATGCGATTAAAAACACGAAGTGCGACGACCACAAAAAGTGCAGTTTCTTATAAACATATATATTGTTATTATACAAATATCTATTGTTATTAACGACTTCTCGACCATCCTATAAATATGTTGATGTCTATTGTGTTTCTGATTTAAGTCTTATTTAATTACTTTCTTGACCTACGCCTGATGCAGTTACAATAAAACATGAATAAACATGGCACGCCACAAATTTTTTATTCCGTTGTTCCTAGTTAACCTCAAAAATGTTGGTCATGTTAACTAATTGGGAGAGTGATTTGAAAATATGTAATAAATTGACGTGCATATAATATGTAAGTATTATGTACGTTATATTTATGGAATCGAATGTAGTAATATTTGAAGGATTTGTGTTATAAGAGAATATATTAGATATATACATATTTATTAGGACTTAGATTCATTGAAACGTAGGCAGTGGATATAAGGTAACATAAAAAGTTTTCATTGTGATATAAGTAGGTTAATTATGGTGACACTTGACAAATTTTCGGTCTTTTTTTGCAAATTACTTTCGTTGGTCGCTGTGGGAATAAGGTCGCTTTCATTGGGGCAGACGTATTTATATTCAATATGAAAGTGTTTGTACTGTTTGCCGGAAACTTGCCTTGAACCCGTTTTGTTTTTCGTTGTCAACGTAAATTATAGTGCTAGAATTTGAGTTAAATGTGTAATTATTTAACCTAATCGTTGCTTAATTAGGATTGTAGATAGATATCGAGTTTTTCGCGACATGAAGATATCGGCCGCTTAGCTACTGCGTTAGATTAGTAATCATTGGGTATAAGTGATACTAGGTATGAAGAATATTAGGTTGGTTGCCATTAAGGATGATACTGAGTTAGTTGCTTAATCCTTGGGTTAGATCGTTGGGTGCGTTACCAGGAAGACTCAGGTTCTTGCCCCGTTGAGCTGAAGATTGATTTAACAATTCATCTACAAAAATTAACATTTAAAATGATTTAATAATAATGTTGTATTGTTTGCGGCACATGACTACGGAAAAGAGCAGTTTTTTTTAAATTACTTCTTATGCTAATCCTTATTATTATTTAAGAAGATACTCATATATAGTGCAGTAAAAATTATCAATAAACGATCAATGTCGTTGTCAAATGGGGAAGACTAGTAATATTTATGCTGTAATTTAATTATATATTATATAACAATATTAGAAAGTATATAAAAAGCTGTAAATAAAATAAAGTAAAATAACATGTTACTTTACCGAGGCTGTTTATATATGCGGATTGACACACTTCACGTATTTTTAAAATATTTCTTTTCATATTATTTTGAAAACACAGTTTATCTCGCGATGATTTTCTTCTACGAGCACGTGATAAGTCACCACTTAAAATCAACAATTTAATTAAAAGTATTGAATTAAAAGCGTGCGCCCAGAACACCGTGCTATCAAGGCTGTACGTGCTATGACACCATGAGAAGAAAATTATTGCTTTATGTGGGAATATGTCTCATGAACATCTTTGTATTCTTCCGTTCCAATTAACATATATATCGATATTACATAATTACACGAATTACATGCAATGCTGCTAGATTTTGATTTAAATTACGAATCCATTGTTCAAGACATTACATTCAACGCATTGATAATAAATACCGTTACTACGGCGTTTATTTCACACGGAAAGAAACTGGTCAAGATAAAGATTTTGTTACAATATTTAATATTTGATTGATAATTCTTTCGGACGTAAATCTTATGTGATATTGTTTGTCAAGAGCTTTAATAGTATCCACTTTTAATTCTATATTTTTATAACATGTATACTTGTATTCTTAGAGCTCAGCTCACGGTGTTGCATAGAATATTATTAATCATTTATGAAAATATGTAGATGTGTAGAGTATTTAAATCGTTGAATGCATTTTAAGTTTTCGGATTAATCCTAATAATTAAACAAAACAAAACTTGGCTACGGTGTTGTCTATATATTTTTGTAACATATTTTTTTTATTATATTTAAGATATGGTGGGTACCTCTTCTCTATCTCTTCATTCAACATCATGTGTACAAAGCGATTCAGCACTTAAATTGCAGCACCTTTGAATAAAATAATTTTACGGACAAAGCGATTTTCTTTTTTCGAAATGCCGACGTTTTGAATAATTTACAGCGTTAATGCATCTATTAAATACAGCAATATTCGCGTAAATATATAAATTATTACATTAAATTACAATTAACAATTCCATTTGTGTCGGCACCCGGGTTCGAACGCAGTTTCTCCGAGCCTGCTAAACTCCAACTCAACTCACCGTGGCTTTAGGATTGCATAAAACGTGAGTGTATCCCGTAAAGTCGGTTACACCGTTAAATTGGGCAATTTATGAGCTCACGGTGTTTTAACCATACGGTGTTTGCAGCGGCTCGGCACCGGTGTCAAAGATTTAACTGTTACTAAGATTATGCGATGTGAATACGTCACATGCGCTTAATTGCCTTTGTGCGGCACCCAGACAGATTTCCGCTGAATTGTCGTTTTACTTGTACAAGTACTGTTTGTAGTGTTTTTATAGTAATCTGTATTGTTTATTATAATAAAGAGGAAATATTTTTTTTTTATGTTTGTAACGAATAAACTCTGGAATAAAATAATACTAGATCGATTTCAAAAATTCTTTAAAAATATTTATTAGTTAATTGGCAATATTAATTAGTAGAAAAGGAGTGGTAGGGACAATGTAGCTCAAGGTGTAAAAAATAAATGTTCACTCGTGCGAAGCTGGGACGAATCGATAGTACTTAATATAATTATATTTTATTTATTCATTTCTTAATTCCTTAATTAACAATTCAATAGACTTTAGTTGTTCGTTTTATGAAATTTTATTCGCGCTTCGTCGCTGTTATTTGCAAAGGTCATTAGAATTTTCTTCATTTATAAAGGAAATAGCGACTCGCCCCGGCTTCGCACGGGTGCAATGTATTATACATATAAACCTTCTTCTTGAATCACTCTATCTAGTAAAAAAGCAGCATCAAGATTCGTTGCGTAGTTTTAAAGATCTAGGCAAAAATAGGGACATACAGACAACGAGGTGACTTTGTTTTATACCATGTAGTGATTTACAAATAAAATTTATATTTTGGGTTTAAAATTGACTTAACTCATCCACGTACTTCGTGGCAGTCTATGAGGTAGGCATATGTTCAGCAGTGGGCTCAACCAGGCTCAAATGTCGATGATCCATGTAGTGCAAATTGAGATAAAGTTGGATAATACACTTACCTCCTATCGCTTGTTGTAAGTTTTGACTAGATATATATATTGCAACCGTGCAATAGAGCACGCTGGATGACAAATAACTAATAATAAATGTTTATACCTAGCAGAAATCAAATTTTCGCCTTTCAGTAATCTTAGACTCGTCATTCAACGAATGATGTATACTCCAATTCCACTTTATTGTTCGATCGTAAGGTTCCGCTGTGGAATTATCTGGGGTAAGGTGTCCATTGTTTTGCGGCCGACTTATAGGTGAAGTAACAGTTTCCTTAATTCCTTTTGTTTTGATATAGACGGTCTGAATTGCCGCCTGGGCACAATTTATGCGAGTTTTACTTGACAATGTCCGGGTAAGCGTTTATTGCGTTCGTTACATTTTATCTTACGTGCGTCTTAGTGTGTCACCGTGTCAGTGATTATACCAAGGCTTCATTGCTCTAACCACCTGAGCATGTATGGTTCGTTAGTTGCGTTAAAGATTTGCACCGCAATGTGACCCTCGTCCGGGGATTTTTTGAGAATCATGCTACATAATAGTTTATGCTCAAATGACCGTCTGAACGGTTACCGTATATGGAGTACGTCTTCAGAACGATTTTAGTAATCGTTCTGAAGACGTACTCCATATACGCTTTAGACGCCGCTTAAGTTGTAGTCTAGATTAGAATCGAATATTTCGAACGTTAAAATATGATTGACCTTTAAATTATTAATTAATTGAAGAAATAAATCATTTACCGGCCTAATCGTTAAATAAATAAAAGTTTAATTTAAGGTAAATTCCCGCCATTTCGAACTTTTACAACATAATGCTATTCACATAAATCCAAAAATATTCAAATGCATAATAATATATAGTTTATATATATTAATATACACGAAGTTCGGACGTCATCAATCGTATTAAGCTTATCTTTGTTTTTTTGGTTGAAATGGTGTCTTTTGAGAAAGTACCCCAAATATAAGTAGCGGTCCGTGTAAAAGTGCAATTAGTTTTTATTTTTTTAAATTACATGACGGTAAAACAGTCAACTTTCGGAGGTTTGATTGGTATGCGTTAACAGTTAGCACGATAAAAAATCTTATTACTTTTGCTACACGAGGACACGATAGGAACGTTAAATGAACGTGTTAAATCGAGCAAAACGTTACAAAGCGATCGAAAGCTGGCCGATTCATTAAACATGCTAAAGAATGAATTTAGCTGTTCTCTGCGTAAAGAGTGTATAACAATCGTTTTACTTTCACGTTTCAAAATGCTCATTCATCTGCTGATCAAAAGGCCAGTGAAAGCGATATTGCAATTGAATAAAAAATAAATAAAAATGAAAACGTGTGTTATCGACTTCCTCGCCGACTTTCGTGAATCTCTGAGCGAGTCGGTCTTGACCTGTATAGCGTTCAAATTAATCGTGTCTATTTATAAATGAAAACGAAATAATAATAATATGCACAAAGTTAATAAACACTAATTTTTGTTTTCGCCCATAGCATAATAATCGTTAGCGTATTTAAAAAAAATATTTTTTAGTAATTAACCATTCACTGTGAGGCAACGTGAATGACAGTGATTAATTTAATTTCATTAAGGATGATAAAAATGAACGCCAACGCTAATAACTTTGGCATATTTGATACACTTCTGCATTTTATTTTTTAAATTGGGTACCGTAATTTTTTTAAGTGTCGCGGACACCATCTTTATTATTTTTTTTCATATATTTATTTATATATTAATATAACTTTATTTTCCTTTCCTAAATTTTAATTTTAATTTTCCGTAATCGATGTTGACATTGATCGCATACTAAGGAGCATGTTCATTTTGTCGTTCCTTAAGCATACAAGAATAAATCAATTATTCTCTTTTGCTTTTTCGCCATAGGCATTTACTAAGATAGTCCGTTTACCAACAACGACGATTTTACTACGGCCATAAATGATCCTCAAGTGATAGCTACTCGTACGTAGCCTTTTGAAAAAAGAAATTATGCATTCTGAACTTTACTGCAGGTAAGCTTTTTGAACACTCAAAGATTATGAAGCAAGCGTGTTAAAAACCATGGAATAGAGAAAACAGTTGTCACTTATTTTCTCTATTCCGTGTTAAATCACACCCATTTTACGATATCGGGAAATAAGTAGGTAATTCCACTTTTATTTGACGGTTTCCATGTCGATATATTTTTTTTCCCGATTATGTTTCCGATTTACATGTATACAATGTATTTTTTTTTTGTTACAGAAGGATTTTCGTCATCATGATTGCCAAGGCGCTGGGCGTGACGCCTTTAGCGCTACTGGTACTACAAGTGTCTTCCGTGCTTAGTAAGTGTTTTTACATTTTAAACGTTTTTAATAAGAACACATCGTCTCTCCATAACAACAAATTTTATATACAATGTGTATATAATAAAAAAATGATTGCTTCGTTTTTTTACAGTCCAAAATTACAGTGACAAATTAAGTTCACAATAAGTAATAGTAGAAAATCAGTACAAAAGTTCTAATAAAAATACAGTCCATGTACTTGTATTTGAATGTGACTTGTACATTAGCGATTGTAGCAAACAGCGATAGCTCAACAACACAGCTTTTGTGAATAGTCTTGACTACGGTCATCTAGATTATCTTAGTCTTATATAAATTTATTTTCTTTCTTTCGGGATTTGACTATTATACGGATTGAGCTAGAATATAGAACGCTCATGAACATAAAAGAAAAACTAGATAACCTTCGACCGCGACCCTATTTTTACTAACGGAGCTCAATTAATTACATTTTTTAGGTCGAATCGCATTTGAAAAGTTAACAGATGTCGATTTCGCCGGCACCGCATATTATACAGTACGTAACCTGTCGCTGTACGAGTGTCAAGGATGGTGCAGAGAAGAAAACGACTGCCAGGCCGCTGCTTTCAGGTATTTCCCTTCTTACTCGTGTCGTGTTTCTTTTATTGTCAGCCGCTTTGTATCTACAGCAAAGATCCATTTGCGTATTTATAAGCAATAAGTTAGATACACTGTATCAAGTATACGATCACTTAATACTAATTAACTGTTATTATCTTCGGAATCCATGCTGATTGTGTTCGAGCTTAACCGGTTCAACTTTACTTTTTGACCGACCGCTCTTTAGAACATGGAGTTTTTTTAAGACCTTAATAGAAAGAGATAATCAAAAAGAATAACGGTCGGCGCTTTGAATATGGCATCAGAAGATTATTTTCGCAAATAGAATATCGGAACATGACTCGTCATCCGCTGACTGACCATGAATTTAATGATGACCAACGTTTCGTGCCCAACGCGGATCACGCTCCTGACCTGGATGTCGCAGATAAGCGATCAGATTGACGTGAAGATTCACTAATTCACGTGACTCGGACTTTGTGACCGCCGATAAGGACGGCATAGGAATGTATGACATAGAAGCTATTTGGACGCTCGTCGAGTTTAGGCGTTGGCATCAAATGTTTGCCCAAATGTGTGCCAGTTCGCCACACGTGACCCGCGGTCCGGGCGTTCCAATGTCACGGTGTTGGTTAATAACAATGCGCCCAAGAACCGCTCGCCACAAACCGTGTAAAAGCGGAAACCAGAGTCGATGCGCCCCAAATTGGATAACAGTAAAAGTTATCGCATACATTTTAAATAGATTGTTTTCCGCGAACTACTCGTAAGCCGATAAATAGATTTCACGATTGATGATCGATGCGTTTTCTTTTTTAATGTTTATATCAATCGTGTTAGATTTCTGTTTTATATTAAATGAAAACTTGACAGTGTATAAATATTTCTTAACATTCAATTTGTAAAATATATTTTCGCTTAAAGCAATATTTATGAGTGTTCCGATCGTCATGAAAGAGAGACGAAGATAGTCACTGAATGGTTGATGTGAAATGTATGTGATACTTGATATAAATAACTTTCGACCTTTTTGTATACACTTGTATACACTTTTAATTGATAAAATTGCTCTGATATTTACATTATTATTGTTCATGTTTTTTATTTGTTTTAAAGATGTTTTTAGCATAGTTTGTACCTCACAAATTGAAATCTAGAACGTAGATTAAAGTTACAGTGGTAGGGCCACGCAGCAGCCTCGGCTGTTGCACGAATGGGCAGGCTCGTCCGGGTAAGTACCAAGACCTCACAGAAGACTGGCCTATATGTCTGTCTCTCCGTCTGTCACCAGGCAGTATCTAATGAACCGTGATAGTTAGACAGTTGTTAATTTTCACAAATGAGGTATTTCTGCCGCTGTAACAACAAATACTAAAAAACAGAATAAAAAATTATTAAGTGCGGCTTCCATTCAACAGACATGATTTTTTGTCGTTTTTATAGATAACGGTACGGAACCCTTCGTGTGCAAGTCTGACTCACACTTGGCCAGTTTTTTTCTTCTCTTATCGCCAACTGGAATTCTTTCTAAGTGACATAAATTATTAGGTCTACACGAACAAAGTCGCGGTTGCAACTTGTTATGAATAAAACATTAAGTACACATGCCACATAATGGGATTAAGACGTTAAGACCTATTTTTATCCTTTACCCTTTCAATGTGTCATCTTTTAGGTTGGCTTATAAGGTACCGCCACAAACGAACTCACTAATAGTTAACTAATTAATATCGCCCATAATTGATTAATTAAGAAATATTGTTATAATTTATATTAAATATAAATGCTAATTTATTTATTTTTGTTGAGAACGAACGATTTGTCATTTTTTCCAATGCGTTTACTCAAAGAACATTATAGGAAAGACGTAAGTTCTCAAAATATACAAATGAATTTAAAACTAATTCGTAGTTTCACAAAAGTCGATGATAATAACTGTGAGTTATCATATATTCATCATTGATTACAAAATTTTTATAAAAGAAAATTATAAAAACACAATGTTGGGTCCACTAACATCAACTACTAGAATTAAACTAAAAGCTCCGTGAGTGATCGATGAAATAAATGACTTTACAAGTTTAATATGCCTTATGCGTTTAATATGCCTTAGAACAGTTGCAGTATCACTGCTGTTGTATTGTAAAAATACATACATAACTGTATTAGACTGTGACTTGTTGTGAATTCCTCTAAATCAGAACGAACGGCTTTAATCGAGAATCACTCCGACAATCGGCTTGGCATACGGTAGGCAGGTATTCAATTTAACGATAGGTAGCCCCCATTCGCATTTCTAATTTAGCATTGTACTAACGGCGTATCGCAAATCAATCTGACCAATGAAAGACCTGACAAGAGAATTGATCTGATGCGATGTTGAATCGTTAGCGGATGCCCCCAAAAGCTTCATTTCCTACTGCGATTTCTTTCTTTGGTTAAAGTCGAACGTTATTCTTATATCAGAATATAAAATGAAAGTTGTTTTAATTGGAAAAAGGAAATAATGTTATTTATCATTTGTCATTTTAGCTTCAGATGCTTGTGCACTACAGTTTTTTTTTTTACATAGAACTTATTCGCTTATGAAAATATTTAAACATTGCATCAATGTTTGATAAATTTAATGATAAATTTAATGATTATTTCTATAAAAAGGGAACCATAGGAAAGCAAAGAGATTTGCAAGGACGATAATTGGTGCACTGTAAACCTCGGTTTACAAGAACACTTGACTGCCCTTCTAAAGACGGCCCGGTGTCAGTAATTGGGATCGATAAAGTTTAAATTACCCACAGGTTCTATTCTAAGTATTTATAGTTGAATAAAAAAGCTTAGTAAGCTTGTTGCAAAACAAGCTGGACAGATGCACATTCTTCGATTGGCATCTGTGAACAAACAATTAACTACTATTTCTCAACTATGAAATAATTATAATTAATGCGAAAAAAGGAGTAAAATGCAGCGTTTGTTACTTCTTGGGACATTGTTTGATCAACGGCTTTTTTAAAAGCCTGTTAAAGCTTATAAACGTGCGCAAGCCATTTCAATAAATATAAAAGACTATTTGATTGGAAAACTATTTGGTAAAAGATAACTGTTATTTTTATAGGTTTACTTATGTGTTTTAAAATCTTAGTAACACACGCTGATAGAATTATATAGCGACCACTAAGACTGGTAAAACTTTAAGGGAACGTTATAAAACTACAGACTTTTTTTACAAAATTAAATAAAAACGTTGCATATAAACAGTTAACAAAACACTGTTAATTGTTAAAATGTTTATGTTTCGTAAATTTTCCTAAATTGAACTTACTGAAAAAGTCAAACAAAGAACTCGCAAGGAACCTACATTGTTTAATTATAGTTCCATATGGGTTAACTGTTCTGATAATATGTATTACAATAACTACATTTACCTTACCGTTTATCAGTACTTATTTGGAACAACATGATAATAGTTCAGAGCACTTCGTATGTCTCATCGTAAAATTAATACGAATGTTTTAAATTTGTCTTGAACTCTATTGATCAAAATTTTAAATACCATATCACCAACATATGTAGGCATTGGCAATAATATATCACAAAATAAAATCTTTCAAACCCAACTTGCTATTTTGTCATTTGGAAATAGCGTCTACAACAGATAATAGCGCTAGCCTAACCAGGAACAGATTCAAAATAGGGTATTAGCATCTCATCACGAGTGATGTGAACCAAGATACTGTTTCTACGAGTCCAGCATCGCAGTCCTCGTAGGAGGTAATGCTGTGTCTACTACTAACAGTCTGCAATATATATTAGGTACAGACAATTTGTACGCTTATTAGTGTAATAAACGTAGCTCTTTCTCTCTCTCTCATGTCTTTATCGTCCCTAATGGGGTGGTGAGAGATAACTAATGAAATATACGTCTTAACAAGCTTACTCCGACTTAAGAAAAAATGGTGACCATCTTTATCTAGGTTCTCATCTTTATCTAGGTTCTCATCTTTATCTAGGTTATCTAGGTTATCATCTTTAAGTACAAATAATAAGCTGTGATTTTTTACGCAAGAAATCTAAAAATGGAAAACATAGAATAAAACATATAAATATTAGATATTTATATATTTTATTCTTGGAGTCTAAGATGTATTTGTATGTTAATAAAATGGTTAGTGGTTAGTTTGAGGAAACTATTCAATAACTAAAATATCGAAGATATCAGATATTTTTATATGGAAAAAAGAGGATTACCAGAGTGCTTGCAAATTCATTGCCGGCCTTTTAGGGAAGGATCAAGGATTTGAAGGATCCCAGGTCGTAACGGTTCGGACAGTCCGCTGGCGGCAGATTCTGCTACCTAAATCAAACGTTATTAGTTATATATTTTAAATTGGTTTAAAACAGTATTAGTAAACTCTTATTGTACATTATTTGTTCGGATTATTTTAGCCGCGAAGGAATTTTAAACAAATATGTATATAAAGTATTATATTATATATTGTTTTATTAATCCATTAATATTCTAAGCACTTTTCTTATCAGTGGATCCATATCTTTTATACATATGATTAATAGACTCAGCCGAATATTTTGAGCGGGTCCCACTCACCGCGTATTTTGTATTCTACTGGCGTCTAGAGGCACTTCCAAACAGTAATCGCTTTAATAACGTAACACGGTTCAAAAGATTTATTATGTTGGTGGTTAAACCGAAGCCGAATTCAATGTCATTACTCTAAGGGCGCACGATGCATTAATCATACATTCTTTTAAGCCTCCGTTCATTGCTGCCTAAAAAGCGATCTGTCAACAATCAGATGTAGTAATAAGATCGCAGCAAATTCTAATATTACACCAACTTTCTTTCCATACAACTTTTCCTGAACATTGTATTTTAACATAACATAAGAAAAATATTTCAGTTTTTCCTCATATTTCACCGCATAATCCGTGATATGGAATATGGAATATCCATTTATGGAAATAAAATAAGTTGGTAATGTGAATAATTTAGGCAACAGATATGATTGTATGCCTTTAACTTTATTATATTTAATAAAAACTATAGAGTCGCTGTTAAAGTTCGCACAGAGTGTTATTCGCAATTAACGAGTCATAATTATTATCTTAAATGTGTGCGAGTTGATTGCTTGTATGTCCTGTTGTAATAACTTCTAAACGGTTGAACGCAACTATGGCGGCTATAAATGCTTTATTTAGTATCGCATATTCAGAACGGCCATAGTCGGCTATATAACAACCGTTACCTTGAGCTTTAATTGCAACGCCAAGGGGTGAGGCGATGTTTCCGTTATAAAACCATTGAAATTGTCCTTAAATACAGACCTTACTGAGAACAAATACTACAATTTGTAAATTAAAGTTAGAATCGATTTCGTTGTACATTACATTGGGGTATTAGTTTTAATGATAACACTTTAATATCTAAATAAGAAAATATTATCCTTGAAGTACTTTATGGGAATGGTAATTGCGTTTGCGATCTCTTAGAGAATCTAATTTGTTTTAACCAAAAGCTTTAATAACACTAACAAAAATATCAAGAATTTAGGAAATTTATGATTTATATAAAAGATCAACAAACAGCATAAAAATAACCAAAAATAATATATGTAATGAATGGCATAGGCTTATAATATAACATTTACAACATAATTGAGAAGTCGAAAACGGCGTAAGTCAATTAAGAGAAATCTCCATATAAACACACGTATGCATATACACCCATTCACATTACGTGATTTCAATTTCCTTTTCATTCATAATTAATGTTCTAGGTCAAGGATAACTACTGACTATGCGTTATAACAGCTTTCGCATATTTAACTAAGTATTCATCTCTCTCTTTTATCGAACATTTTGTCCCAGTTTTCTTTGACTAACGGTTGTCGGCTTGCCTTTAACTTATTTGTTTATTTTATTACTTTATGTAAAATACATTGCTTTCTAAATTGAACATTGCTATTTATCGAGCAGAGATAAAGTAAATGGTTTCTTGTATTCATATAAAATGTATTGTACTCACAATAATGTTTTCAGTTATAATACGTATTCAAAGATATGTAAACACAGAAAAATAGAAATTAATTAACACTTTTACCTCATTTACTTATCCGAAAATCGCATATAACATCAATTAATCTAGTACTTGGCCTTTAAAAATCAAACGGACGCAATAATAAATATGCAAAGCCTTGTCCATTGCGCGGAATTAGAATAAAATACGAAATATCTGGCGTTAGGAACGGTAAACGGCTCCGTTATGCGGCTGCAAGTTGTAAGTATAACGCGCTGTTCTCAGTGTCATTAGAAAATAGACCCAGACATTGGCTTAACGTCGCGCGCGTTGAAACTGTTCCTGGGCTTAGATTTGACTTTCTAATTCCTAGGATTATAATGTAAAGACTGAAAGATTAAGTACCCCACAGTTCCGGAGCAATGTTTCTAAGAAAATGGTCAAAGCTTAATGAAACATATTTTAGTTTCGATGTCGTCTTATTAGTTTTCCGACACGATTGCGTAAACAAATTGGAATACTTGTATCGTTTTCGAGCGTTAGAGTTTGTAATGGATTTTTATTTGCTTAGTGATGTTTTATTTATTAATTAACGTTTTACTTATTTTTGGTTTATATTTTTATTATTTATAAATAAACAGTGATAACGATTTGGGGACCGAAATCACACGGCCGCTCAGCGGCGTGAAACCGATTGTCCATAAAATTTACGACCAAGATAACAAATGATTTTCTTTGAGTCACTGAGAAGTTGTAGGTATTGGAATAATTATTGGAATAATATTATATGTACCGCATTAGTTAACTTAAGATTATATAATCTCTTAATACAGAATGACAGACTAATCTCATGTATAAATTTTATTTTTACTTGATTTACAACTACGGCTCGGCATTTTTTTAAATAAAAATCGTATAGCTATTTTAAATAAAAACCGGCCAAGTGCTAGTTGGACTCGCGCACGAAGGGTTCCGTACCATTATCCATAAAAACGGCAAAAAATCATGTCTGTCGTGGGAGAAATACTTTTCAAACAATATTTTTTATACTGTTTCCTATTATTTGTTGTTATAGCGCGAACAAAATCATTTGTGAAAATTTCAACCATCTAACTATCACGGTTAGTAAGATACAGACTGGTGACAGACGGACAGATAAACAGACAGACAACGAAGTCTTAGTAATGGGGTCCCGTTGTACCCTTTGGGTACGGAACCCTAAGATGCATTTGATTTGCCATCGTCGCCGTGCATGCCAAACTACAAGTTAAGAGTGTATTATAGAACATCTCATTAATATTCTTATTTCAAATTAAAATATATGGCATACAAATCTGTTCTCAATACCGAAAATGTATTTTCAACACTTAATCAGATAAGACGCCATTTTAAGTATATATTATACGGAAGCTTTAGAAGTAGAACCTATTGCGGAACTAACAAAAACAACCGATAATTAATTTGCATATTCATTTATATTTGTTATCACTTGTACTTCATTAAGCGGAAGGTCAATATTTTATAAGCGAACTTACGGGTTTAATGAACTGAGATGTACAACCCGTGTTATACAATTTATGTGCCCTAGATTACAACACGTTTATTTAACTGTTAAAATTATACTTTATAGTTACTTTTTAAGTATCAAGAAAATTAATTTTAAGGTGATATTTTTATGTATAACTCAAATAATATGCATACAATAATTCACATCATCATCGTATCCATCGTCATTATCACAAGACTGTGATAGTCCACTGTCGGGCTTAAGCCAATCATAAAAGTTTATGCGTAAAATGTTATTTAAAATCTTCTTTGCAGTTTTGTGCTGAATCCGCTGACACCAGTACAGGAGACCCGTTGCTTGCTTCAGAATGATACACAAGCAAATAATCCCATGGCGACTCCGCAGGTAGCTTCATTATAATAATGGTCACACTATTGTTTTGTCGTTTCTCCCATATCCCAATTCTCACGTTGGTCACAATTTAATCATGGCTTTAGAATATAATTTGAATTTGATTAAAAACGCACCGTTATATATAAAGTGAATTTACAATATTAAATGCAAAAAACACGCAAGTCGACCACAAGGTTCGTTTGTACATTCAGAAGTTTATAGACAGCCGTTTAAAGATAGCCGTGTACTCACCATTTCCACCGTCAATTAGTCCGATGTCAAGATCGGATTAGCAATGTAAATTAAATCGGTCATAGCCCCGGGGAAATTGTTTTATTGTAAATGAGTAAAGAAGACTTGTTTAGTTTTATAAACTTTATTTGATCACTTACATGATATGCACGTTGGGCGTTGACAAGAATAAGAAGGTAATTTGGTTCTTAGCTGACGCGACATTAACAGTTGTGAAGGGGAATTTATGTTTCCTCTAGGTGTTGTTCTGTGTTGTAAAAGTCCTAAATAATAATCTGTATTTGACTCATCACATTTTCTAAAAATATTTTTTATAGTTTTAACAGAGACTTCTGCTAGACCGTTTGATCTGGGGTAATGAGGACTTGACATTATGTGTTGAATATCCCAATCATATAAGAAATTTTTAAAATCAGCTGAATTATAAGGGGGACCACCATCACTGACTAATTGTAAAGGAATTCCATGTCGAGCAAATATTGATTTTAATTGTGTAATTACTGTTGAACTTCTACTATCATTGTTCAAATAAGCTATTTCAATGTAATTTGAATAGTAGTCTACGACTAATAAGTATTTCTTTCCTTTATAATCAAACAAATCAGTTGCTACTTTTTGCCATGGATATAAAGGTTGTTCATGTGACAAGAGTGGTTCTTTTATTTTATTAGGACTATACATAAGGCATACATCACATTGCTTTATTAAGTCATCGATTTCATGATTCATGTTTGGCCAATAAACTGTTCCTCGGGCTAAGTTTTTTGTTTTTTCCATGCCCTGATGACCTTCATGTAAAATAGAAAGAATTTCTCGTCTCATTGATATTGGAATTACTACTGACTGAGACTTAAAAATTATATCTTGAATAATATGTAAATCTTCTTTTATATTCCAATAAGAAAGAACTTTTGGATCACAATTTTGTTTGCTATTAGGCCAACCATTTTTACAATATTCTTTTATTTTTTGTAAAATTATGTCATTATTCGTATGAAACAATATTTTATCTAGTTTTTCTTTAGTTATAGCTAAATTTGAGGTAAGTAAATTGACATGAATTTCTATATTGTCCTCTAGTTCTTCTAAACTTGTTAAGTCTTTAATTGAATTGTCTACTGGGGAACGTGAAAGTGTATCTGCAATATACATTTCTGTGCCTTTTTTATATGTAACAATTAAATGGTATGCTTGTAATGTAATCATCATTCTTTGCAATCTAGTAGGAACATCTGACAGAGGCTTTTTAAAAAGAGTAACTAATGGCTGATGATCAGTTTCTACGAAGATAGGTTTACCAAATATATATTGGTGGAACTTTTTGCATCCAAAAACTATAGCATATAATTCTTTTTCAATCTGAGCATATTGCTCTTGACAAGAAGTTAATGACTTTGAGGCATATGCAATAGGATTTTTTTTTTTCATGACATATTACTGCTCCTACAGCATTTTTTGAAGCATCAGTTGACATTCTTATAGGCTTATTTATATTATAATGAACTAATACTGGAGCCTGACATATTAATGATTTTAATTTTATAAATTCTTGCTCATGTGACTCTGTCCATTGCCATATATTTTGTTTTTAAGTAAAGCTCGAAGTAAATTAGTTTTTTCTGCTAAATTAGAAATGAAGCTACCTAGATAATTTATCATTCCTAAGAAGCGTTGAAGCTCTTTGACATTTGTTGGACTTTTCATATTAATTATAGCTTCTATTTTAGACTTATCAGGGGAAACACCATTTTTATTAAAAATATGTCCTACATAGCACACTTCAGGGACTCCAAAAGAACATTTTGTTTTATTAAATTTTATGTTTGCTTCTTGGGCCCTTTTAAAAACAGCTTCAAGACGTTGATTATGTTCAGACTCTGAAGAAGCAAATACAAGGATATCATCAATGAATGTTATTACACCGGGAAGACCTTCAAATGTTTCAGACATTATTCTATGAAATATTTCTCCGCTAGAATTAATACCATATGGAAGACGAAGAAATTTGTACCTTCCATAAGGTGTGTTAAATGTGCACAGGTCACTACTTTCATCATCTAATTTTATAATCCAGTATCCTGAGTTAGCATCTAATTTAGAAAATATTGTAGCACCGGCTATTTTAGAACGTAAGTCATCAAATGTAGGATAAGGATAATGAGGTCTTTGAATTGCTAAATTTAAATTTCTCGGATCTAGGCATATACGTAATTTACCATTAGGTTTTTGTACTAGAACAATAGAACTCACCCATTTAGTTGGTTTTGTCACTTTTTCAATAACATGTAGTTTTTCCATTTCATCTAACTCTTGTTTTAATCTATCTCTAAGAGAATAGGGAATCCTACGAACTGGGCAGATTTTTGGAGGAATACTAGGATCAACATCTAAATGTGCTTCTTTGACTAAACATCCTAACCCTGTGAACATTGATGAATACTCATTAAGAATGTTTTGTACTGACCTTGACTGTTGTTGCTTATTTTCTGTTAAAGTAAATAATCTTTGTACTATACCCATTTTCTCACAACTTTTCCATCCTAAAATTGTCTGGCAATTGCAATCCGCAATAGTAAATTGTAAGTTATTTATCAAACCGTTAGTGAATTTGCATTCTAAATTACAAATACCGATATTTGGAATTAGTTCGCCTGAAAAAGAATATATGTTATTATGTGTGTTAAAAATAGGTATTTTTGTGTTTGTGGCTGAACAAAGTGTTTCAAAAGTTTGTTTAGACATTACATTTGTATCAGCACCTGTATCTATCCGACATTTTAATATATATCCATAACAGTCCACATCAATTTGCCAATCCTGATGTGATTTATTGATAGCGCTAATTATAAAGTTATTATTTTCAAAGGGTGAATTGTTACAGACAGAACTTACTTTATTAAGTTTAGGTTTGAAAAAACAGCAATTGGCAAAATGATTTGGTTTTTTACAAGTTATACAAACTTTTCCCATTGCTGGACATTTAAATCTATGAATTTGACCACATCGAGAACATTGTTTCTTATATTGACTTGTCTGGCTGCGACTACTTGGAATGTTTCTTGATGCTGATGACTCTGAACGATTATCCCTTCTCCCTATGCTTCTTGAAATCCTTTTTGGCTGATATTTAGCGACATTTATATTTAATTGTTGACTATTTTGTAACTTTTCTGACCTATTTTGCGACATTTCTATGCTTTTTGCTATATTTACGGCACTTTCTATTTCCAACTTGTCCTTTTGTAACAAATGTTCTTGGATTTTACGGCTTCTTATTCCAATAACAAACATGTCTTTTATTAGAGAATTTTGGAGACTTTTGAACTCGCATGAATGACTTAGGTTGGTCAGACTTGTGACATATTCATCGATTGTTTCACCTTCCTTTTGTGTTCTTGTGAAAAAATTAAATCTTTCGACGGTCACGTTTTTGCATGGATTAAATTTTGCGTCGAATTTGTCAAACACGTGTTTTAAGGTTAATGAAGAATCTGCTCTGTTAATATTGAATGAATTAAATACCTTTAATCCTTCGTCGCCGATTGCGTTTAAAAGGATTGCGACTTGTTTGGTTGGTGATCGGTTGTCAAGCTCGTTTGCTTCCATAAAAATTTCGAATTTTTGCTTCCATGTCCGCCATCTTTCACATATTTGTCCGTCGACAATGAGAGGTCGTAGCGTGTTTGAAATTATTATGTTAGACTGATCTGCCATATTATTTTTTCTTGTATTTGTATTAATTTTTCACTTCTGACACCACTTCTTTACTCATTTACAATAAAACAGAAATAAGCCTGTAACAGTTTCTACGGGTAGTAACCGTTCGAGAAAGGATAGCGTAATAGCGAAGGCGTAATTAGCGGTACCCACTCACGAGTTTTACGCCCTAAATGAAAACAAAACTATAGCTGTAATGAAAAATTGTATATAGTCTAACGCCACGTATCTTTATATTTAAAATGTTCCTCAATTGTAGCGTGCAGTGAACACATACTATATGGTGAAGCTGCAAGTTCGGACGGAGAGTGTTTGCCTTCGCCCGTGGGCCTTCGAGCGAGTGCCTGGCAAGGCGCTTCGGGGCCTGGACAATACTATAATCTACACCTCCACGAAGGAGGCCTGCTTAGCTGCCTGTCTCAACGAGGTAATGACTCTACTTTCGAGCGATTGCTGGCGGACTTTCGTGTCTGAGCTTCGAATTATATGGCCGCATCGATTTATCTCCTTCCTACATCCCTGGCTCGAACAGTTAGTTCGCTCGCTATCTATTCAATTTATATTTTATAGTTGTGTCCCACTTCGAGTAGCTTTCGAGATGCACTTACGTGATCAACGCCAATTTATATTCAGAGCTCTTCGATACAGAGATTTAGTACTGAACTCCTTTACTTAATTGTGGATAATTGTTATACAATAATTAAAGAAAATTTAAATAACTTTCTAAATATAGACGGAAGTGAACAACATTTTTAATTACAAAAAGTTTTGAACTGTACTTTTAAAAGGCAGTTAAGTGATAATTTAATATTTAAAAAATCGGCCATCAAATTACAAATGAAGGCACTTCACCTTTTAAGAGCCGATTAAAATTTTCTCCGGTAGACGGGTTCCACAAACTGGTGGTGGATTATTTTACTTGAGTTAGCAGATAAACGACAGAATGAAAATATTATATGGGTTTCTTTTACCATCTAATAACTCTAAGGTGATAAAAAACACCAAATAAAATTACGCTAATTGACATTTTGCTAGAAACGTTTCCCGTGCCGGTCAGCGGAGTACGAATATGGGAGCATGAGATGTGCGTTAAGTGACTCGGATCGCCGGACTGCTCAGCACTTCGTGCAGCTAGTGGACACACCCGGAACCGATTACTTTGAAGTAAGTTTTATTATCTTTTCAAAGTGCAATTTTCGCTTTATTACCTTTTCTCTTTGTTTCCTTTATTTTACGCTTAAGCTTTTATCAATTGGGAACAATCCGAAGTAAAAAAGTGGCGTTATTCGATTAAGCACGGTAGCACATTTATTATTTGTTTTTCTTTAATCTCCTATTTCAGAGGTCGGATACCGTTGTAATTTAATAACTTTATTGCAGAAAATTTCTTACTATGATAGTTAATCTGGCATCGAACATTATTTTACTAGGTTTAAGATTGTTTCGAATATCTTCTATATTTAATTTAATGTGTTAATTACGTTATTGAACTTAAAACATAGACATCTCTGTCGTATTTTTTATATCAATTCGCGTATTGGATTGAAAGTTTATTCCAGGGTTAATAATAACTTTGCTCAACGTTATTGGTTTTACCCATTTGTGTGATCGTTTCTTTGTCGAACAGAATTTGTGCCTGAAGGCATCGCAAGCGTGCAAGGGCTCACGGGTGTTTAGTGTCCCACGCGTGGGCGTGGCAGAGGACAAGGTCGCTCAGTACGCAGGATTACACTACTACACCGACAAGGAGTTGCAGGTACGCGTCCTGATTCCAGTCTACAAGCAATTTATAGCTCCGCTGGATGGACACGCAATTAGTAGATGAATGTTTTTGTTGAAATTGCGTTGCAAAGCGACTCGAGCGCTTGTCAAATTTCAACGCACACGTGGAAAGTGGGACTATTAAGCCCCGTAAGGGGGAGAAGTAATTGGACCACCTGCAGAATCGCATATACAACAGTTGCGCATATTTGAATTGTTCAGGCGTGCTGATCTTGTTTGTTTAATCAAACAAATAACATTTCAAGTTTTCGCCTGCAATATAGATATATTTAAAACTATGAGATAAAGAAATAGACATACGTGAGAAAGAAATCGTCGAAAGAATTTTTTTTAAAGACGAATATACTGTTAAGCCTTTAAGTCTTTTTCTACATCTATCACTGCAGGTTTTTTTTTTATGGCAAGCAGGAAGCTCACCTGATTAGGTACTAAGTGTTATTTGAAGTATCCATTTAAAGTAAATAAAACTGTATGATATATATACAGAAAATACAGAAAATATTAGATGACAACGTATGTTTTTTTTTCGAGCAACGAGCGTGAAATATTCTTAACATCGCCCTGATTACCTGATAAACATTGTTTAAACAGGTAACGTCGGAAGCGGCTTGCCGATTGGCCTGCGAAATAGAGTCGGAGTTCCTCTGTCGTTCTTTCTTGTACATGGGAGCGCCTCACTCGTCCGCCTACAACTGTAGGCTGTACCACCTCGACCACCACACGCTGCCCGATGGGCCCTCCGCTTACCTGAACGCCGAAAGACCCCTCATCGACGACGGCGAACCGATAGGAAAGTACTTCGAAAACTACTGTGAAAGTAAGTACATCAAGTATTTCTAGTAGTAAATTTAAATATGATCATAGATCAAAATAAACAAAAAAACCGAACATAACATTTGTGAAATTCTTTAATATCTCCTGGCATTCTACTGAGTGCTTCGAAATTTGTAACTTAGTACGTCTCGTATATGCTCATCATGTAAACGTTCTTTTTACTATCGTGGGCATTTTTAACCTAAAGTACCTAAAGTTAGCAACTTATTGACTATAACCTACAATGTCCAATGGATTAGAGTATATCTTTAGCCTACAAATGTTATTTATGCAACGAAACCATCAGCAATAAGCTGTCTGTTGGGCGAAATGCCTTCAACGAATTCAAATGTTACTGATGTATTTTACTGAATTCTTTTGAACCTAAAGTAATAGTATAAAAACGTTATTTATTCTGAGTAATTACTATTAAGAATTAGTAAGATTTTAAGATTGAAATTGAATTAATCCTTAAGTAAAGTGTTATAGGTACGTTAAAATATTATCTAATATGCGCAATGAAATATTTCATACTTATGCTGGACGGGCCAATGTCATTTAAAAAATTAGTATCTTCAAGATCATTTGAGCATGCGACAAGCAAAAAGTTGCTAGGACGACAATTTTCTTCTTAATTGAGTCATAGGTATACCGGGTGGTTTTATCTTTGAAATCGTTAAGGTTGAAACAGGAGAAAATAAAATGTACAGAGCAGAGCCACTTCTTCGCTAAATATATACTCGAACAAAGATTTTAATGACTACAATTCAATGTGAAAAAACCGCCGGGCCTATACTTTATTATCTTATTTCTTTAGTGAACAAATGATGCCAATGATGGAGAAATAATAAAGGGCTTCATTATAAATTTTATTATAACTTAATGCAAGTGAACATTGACGTCGGAAAAAAACGTGATTCCGAATAGAAGAATAATCTTTTAATAAATCTGTTAAATACTATAGTTATAATATTGGTCTAAGGCTATGAAATTTATATTTCGGTCAGAGAGAGAGAGAGAGAGAGAGAAAGAGAAATTTAGTTCATTATTTTTAATTGTTACAACGCGTGTATATTTTTGTTTCGTACCAATTGTATTATATAAAAATACTGCTGTTTTAAACGTATTTATGATTTAAAAAGAAATTTTATTTTCATTTTTTGTATTTGTCACAGCGATGGCCATTAAACAAGAACAACGTAACAATAAATAAATTAAAAGTTCAGCATTAGTTGCATTTCAAAATTTACTCCAATATTTTCAAAAGTTTTATAATTATTTTACAGTACCTACTAAATGCATCGCACAACGCTGGCGTGTTAGTTACCTCCGTGCATATAAAGATATTTAATACGAGGATATAAAAGAAGGATATTGCGTGCTTAATATTTTTAACACGCGAATCCCGAACGGCTCCTTGAATACGTAATTATACGTGTACGAAATTTATATGGCTATCACTTCTAAGAACAGAAGAACATAAGTCTAGATGTCACTGTATATGGGGTGCAATACGATAGCCATAGGCATAGGTAGTCCGTAATGGAAGTCATATACCTATTTATGGTTCAAAAATTAAAGAAATGATTACAGAAAATCATAAGAATTTTTTTCCTAAAACGTAAATAAAAACCGTTTAAAAGCAAATATTTTAATACATTTTAACAGAACCTAATAATATTAATCCCAATTTTAATATTATAAATGTGAATGTAAGTTTGTTTGTTCCGCTTTCACGCCAAAACTACTCAGTAGATTATCATGAAACTGTGTACACATATTCTCAGAGGTATTAAAAGGACATAGGATTCTTTTTATTGAAAAAAAAATGTTAAAAAAAAAAGATATTTAGTAAAACGCGAAAAAAAATATGAAAGAAAAGTTGTTTACTATTGTTTACTACTCTGAATTTGAACAATTTTCCCGAAGTCTCTATTGTGGGGGCTCTCTTTTGTGGAGGCCCGGGCTGTAGCCCTGGTGGCCCTCCCCTAGATCCGGCCCTGGCCAGTATATATATAAAAACTTGTTTAAGAACAACATTATTGTACTTATTACAAAAAATGTAAGTAAAGTTTAGGTCACTAGGTTGTTGATTCACTAGGTTTCACAACAGATATTCGCTTGATGATGTATACGGCTTCTTGTTACATTTCTCTTTAACTTTATTTAAATAAAAATTTTACTAAAGCAATCATGTTTAGAATAGTTTTAATAACATGATTCGCGGGGATTTGTCAAAGCGGTTAGAAAACAATAGTTTGCATTGTCCTATAATTCAAAAGATAGTCGATCTCTGAGGTGCATCTGACTGCATTGGCCCGGGAATTCCTGCGATGCGACGCGCCGTTTTTGTCGTGAACACGATCAAAGCAACATTTTACAGTTAGGAGAGTTACGCACTCTGTTGAAGTTACACCGCTTTAGCGGTAAGAGATACGCCTGCAGTTTGCTTCCAACTTAAAGATTGAAACAGTTCGACTATTGCATCTGGTGCATTAAATATAATGTATATGGTGGTATATTAAAATAATTAGCTATTTAGGTACAAAGTAATTGCAAACATATCCTTATTTTTCAATAGATCATTTCGCAGTTTAGTAGATCCGTAACTTATACGTGACGTATTATTACTACTAACGAATTATTATGATAGTACCTGGAGGACCGAGCTTTGCTTGGTTTGTTTTTTTTTTGGTAAATCATATATTTTGGAAATTCCATTTAGATACAAATTACTGAGTAATGAAGCATATACATAATATTTTTCGATTTTACCGGCGTAATAATAACAAAATATGAACTGGTGTTTTTCAAAAGAAAGAACTTTAAAAAAAAGGGAAAAAAATAACAAAATCATCTGGATAGACAAAAAATAAAGAAACCAATGTTCTGGAATCGAAAAAAGTAAAAAAAATAAGTGTGTAAATGATCGTGACACGAACCACGGACTTCTGTTTCGGGGCCGCCCGATTACCGACCGAGCTATTATAACAATTTTTTTTCGCGGCGAAATTTACCGTCATATTTGAATGATATTTTTCATTCCTTGAAAACAGGGATACAAGGACATTTTCTAAAAACGAAACCTAGCTAGATCAATTTTTTGCCCCGAATCTACGCACATACTTATTTTCACGAAAATCGCTGGAGCCGTTTCCGAGATTCCGATTATATATATACAAGAATTGCTCGTTTAAAGGATAAGAGATTCATTTAATTTTAAAGAGGATGACTACCTATTTAAATTTATATTATAAAGTCGCTGTTGAATACTTAATATAAGTCGGTATGACAAGGATACGCGTTTTGTCACTAAATATTAATAATTAAGCAGCTTTTAAATCTATAATAATTCAAGATAAACGTTATAACATTATTGCCATTCGTAATTACCTACTGCCATACTTAACCAATATCATTAACAGCATGATTCCATAGACGAGAAGCGCGTAATAGAAGCACAACGCGTAATATTGAGAAGTGTACGTAATTAACAAATTAATGCCCAACAGTAATGTCTATTAAAGTGAACACATTTTTTTTCCTATACAGTTTTTATTTTCTGTAAACATTGAACCCTCTGTAGGATAAGATAATCCTGTGTTTTGAGGGTGTTTTACAAAGCGCAAAGTTAACAAATATTAACAACTGGAATTACAATTATCGCAATAAACATAACGTGCTTGTTTCGGATGTGAATGGAACCTATAACCCGAAATCTGTCGCATTTGCTACTTTGGGCTAACATCTGATTATTTCGTAATTATGCCGGCTTGCACCTAAATGTAATAAATTTACAAAAATGAAAAATTATATATCACGTGGTTGTTCAAAAATGATTATACGATAATTTGAAATAGATGGATATCTGAATAATTATTATTGCCATTAGCGGACCGTATTTTTCAACGGATGTTAATTGTACGACGGTGTTGCGATTACAAAAATAAGTTCTCATCTGCCGAGAACGTGGGAAATTGAGCTTTTATACTTATTTTCTGCAATATTATCTAAGTAAAATTGAAAAAGAAGAATTATGGCAACTACGCGGCATACTTCTGATCAGCGAAGAGATAGATACCTAAAGCGGTGTATTGACCTGGCTGAAACTCGATGCCATTTTGGTCCTTAAGTATTCTCCAGTTGTGTTCTACTAAAAACGCTAGATTAAAGCTATCAATAAACTGCTGTTGTATTATATTGTTTCCATATCCATTTGTTTTTTATACTTTCTCAATAAAGCGCACAAGGTAATTTGGGGCAAGAAGTATACCTACCTTTATTTGAAAATAAACTTTGTAAACCACGTAACGGGGTTAAAAAATAGAACATTAGTTTTTAAAAAACTCATTTAAAATATAAAATTGACATAATTCAATATGTTAATATTAATTAATTCGATAGAGCAACATAATTTTAATAGTGTACCTACAACAAGTTGTTCCTGTATAACCATATATCGTCGTGTAGATAAATCTTTTCAAAAGTAGATTTCATATTGCAGCGATAGGAAGAGATGCATAAATCGAAACTAAACTCACGCCGCGTGCTCAGGTCAGGGTTACGACCAATCGATGCATTGAATAGATACAATCTAACCATCTGATTGCAGTCATTATGGTTCCTACGATGCTATCATTAAACACGTACAGATACCTATATTTATAACTAGGAACGGCAAAGGGCGCTATCCGTGCAAGCATATAAGGATAATAAAAGTAAGCCTGTTGTTATTTCCGCAACTAATTGCAGACTATCTTTCGTACACTGGAAGATGTTATCTGTTCACTTTTTAGTAGTTAATAAAATAATAATACTTTATATGATATATTAACAATACAAGTCTGAAAGTAGAAGCAGCAAAGCGGTTGTACTTTGGTGCGTATAATGGAAGGCCAAGGTTTAGTAATAAAAATGGCAACTCCGATTTCGAAAGTAATATTCTTTAATATCTCGTAGAACTGTTTTATTTTACGCACATCTGCGATTTTGAAGATGTTAATATATGGTTAATGTTAATATTTGCACGTGTGGCTTGATTTGTAATATAAAGGAATATATGTGTAACGAATTTTACTTTTTTGACAAAAAAGCGAAAACATAACTTGGTTATGTTTACAGAATACGAATGCTGACCCACAACAATAGTTGCATAATGATGGAAAAGTCATAAACGCGGTTGAAAAGTCAGCGTCATTCGTGCGTGCTTCCTAACGGTGATCCAACGCCGATTTGTTTTTTTGCAGCGCCCGTGAGCCGTCTTGGTCCGATCCTAATTCAATGGTAATTGAATCGAAATCAATACGGACCGCGATTGATAAGCGCCGTTGAATGTGCACTAACGCTTAATTTAGAACTACAATTGGTCCATAAATTGACTGAATTTCTTATGTTTTTTTATTTATTTCTGATAAATTTTATATGATATTCCTCTTCGACTACAGTTATTCTTTCATGGTTTTTTTCCTGTGTACATTGAATTGATACATTGAAAATATCTATGATTTTAATTCTATGATAATTCACAAAATTGACAGAATTAAAAAACAATTGTAGAACAAATATTGTGTTTTCAAAACTGAATGCGTTTGCATCTTACTTTGGGTTTTATTTTTACTGTGCTTTGGTTTTTGCGTTAGAGTTAATCTTAATTCATTAAATTAGTAGGTACATCTTACTTACATTAACAATTAAAAATAATATCCCTGATTATTCAAATTTTAACACAAGTTATATTAATTTTAGTAAGATTTATAATGTTTACAATGTTATTTTTGGATTTGAATTTCTAAGATTTTTTCAACAGAGAAAATTTATCGACTAATTTTTTTTATTAATTATTATTATTATTATTTTTTAATATTTTAGGACACATTTTTACACAACATTCTCTAACTTCAAACCAAGTTTAGTTCCAAACTAAGTAAAGCTTGTACTAAGGGTACTCGAAAACTTACTTAAAGATACTTTTGTATACATACTTATGTAAATGAATACATATTGTACATATATAAACACCCAGACACTAGTAAAACAGAATGTTCATCACACAATATTTTTTCCAGTAGTGGGGATCGAACCCACATCCTCTGGCGCACGAGGCAGGTACACTACCCACAACGCCATTCGGGTCGTCCAATATCAAGATGAACATATATTTTTTGCAGCTGTAAAATGTATTGATTTTATTAAAAAGTACTTTGAGTTACATTTTTAATGCATACAATGCTTAACTGCGCTGAGCTTAACGTTGACATTGATCAGGTATGATTTTTGCATTGATGTTTAATTAAAATCGTTCTGGACAACTAGTCATGGATGCTTGTATACTTGTATAACGCTTACATCGAGTTACGGTTCGTTAAACAAGTATTATTAGCTTGGATGCGTTTTTAATGGCCATAGTACAAGAATAACAGCCCAGAATGACCTTGCTCTTGCCCACAATGCCGGTCAGTAGCCGCGCGAAGAAAAATATCACGGCATCGGAAATATTAATGCAACATATATTACATCCTGTCGCTTAGCTTTATATCGTCATTTTTTTCATTATGAGGGAAATTAAATAAATAATGGAATGGAATAGTGGTCAAAAAGGAATCTAAAAGATTGATACTCTAGTAAAAAGTTTATGCTAAAGTCGATGATAGATCGACCGTTAATGTCATATTAAGTAAAAACGGTTATTACGCATAATAGGTGGAGTGCAACGCTAGATAATCACGACACTAACCTGACTGGTTTGCCTACGGAACTACCACGATACCCAATAGGACCGTTATCGCCTTCTGCGGTCATTTACGATCTAGAGAGCGTTAGATTCTATTGCACAACTTTTTTTTTTTCAATTTTCGTTGAAATACCTCAATCTGCATCCCGCTGAGTTGCTAAGATTGATGTTTTTGTGAGCCGTGCTATTTAACTAATTACGTTTACACTAAAAAGATTTTATGGAATTTGCTTCCATCAATGCTGAGGAACGGTACAGCACATTGTACTGTGCCAGTATTCCTTTACGATATTACGGTATATATAAACATGTATTCTAAATTGTTAATGTTTAAATTAGTGAGTAGATTAGCAATGAAAAAAGTTATAAAAGATAAAGACTTTTCATCGACCTCTTTCCATACGCCACGTAAGTCTCTTTTCAAGACGAGTCTCCATCAAAAAGCTATTGCTATGTAAGGAACTTTTATTGTTCTTTGGTTAAAAAAAAAGTAAGAAAAATGAAATTTCTCATACAGTAATAAAATATACACTGCATGTTCTCATCGGAATGTGAAGTAATCGTGGGAAGTTTTATTAGAGTTATTGAAGCGTTACCGCTAAAATGCGATAAAGGCGTTCTTCGACTGGCCTTTGTTATCATTAGGTAATTTATTTAAAAAGCATTTTTAAGTAAACAACTATATAGTTATTTTAATGTAACCACTACCACACCATGCTACATATTGTTCATATCGGAAACCTTAATACTTTTACATCCTCTCAGTTCTGACGGAGAATGTATGAGAAAACACATTTCTTATAATGGCATGTTCAGCATAAATAAAGCAAATTGTTGTATGTTATAAGAATAACTTATTTTTTGTAAGATTGCTATGGTCTTGCCAGTCATTGGTGCTACTAACGCGATTAAAAGTTATCGATGAGGATATTTTTAGAAAGGCCGGTTTAGAGCCAGATCTGCATCTGTGATACATTATCTGTTACTCAATGGATCGATTTGCGTCAGGATTAATGCAGCATTAAGGATAGTACAGATAGTATTGAAGAGTTATTTAAAAGAATTTATTAAAAAAATCTTTTCATTTATTTTGCCCTACTTTTCAGATTTCCGTTTTATTTATCGAATCATGTGATCTAGATGAAATTAGGTTCAAACTCTATATGTATACTATCTACTTCATTTTAATTTCGCTTACAGTAAACTTTCACCACCCGATGTAAGTGTAGTCCACCGAGATATAAATAATATAATTTCCCATATTTCACAAATTTTACTTATGCAAGGTTTACGAACTCATATCCTCACACTCAAATACATCCTGTTTTATCACATTGTCCACAATTTCAGATTTAATACTTTTATGCATATTACTCGGTCAATAACCTGTATCCTCGTTGATTAACACAACGTTGTTATTGTTACGATGTGAATTTTGGTAAATTGATGCATTGGCGTAAATATATTGAGTCAATGGTGAACAATTGGTAGATACCGATTGCCCAAATATGTTTGTCCAGTATTAATATATTGCTAAATTGATCTTGAGCGAAATACATTCAACAATGGAAAAAACTTACGGAATACGACTGCTGGCGCATGATTGAATTTGCCGTCATAAAGTCCGGTAGTTAACTGTTATTATGGCGTACAATACAAATATTAATACTCGTCGAAAATATATCTTATAGTTTTCTACGAGTATTCGTTGTGGGAGGCAGCAACTAATGGCTTCATCAAAGGATTTAGCTCATGCCATGTGTCACACACGAAATTGACACAGTATACAGACGCAGATATGTTAACTTTTAACTGACACGACAAATTATCCTACATTCGATTCGGATATTAGCGGGCGAAGCTCGTACTCGCCTAGTGCTTTTGAATTGCGTGTGAAAATCTAGAATTGCCCGAAGCGGCGAGCTTTGCTTTGCATGTACTGTAATTGCGGTGGACTGCACCATGAAATACCACTACTACGCCGCAATATTGCCACAACCGTGCAATAACTATTATAGTCCATAGTACATACATAAAAGCTTTTCGTACTCACAAAAAGGACTATGAAGTGTGTTTACTTACATGTACTAGTATTATTATTTTATAATACAGCTCTCAACAAGTCTAGTCTCGCTTCCAGTAAGAAATCCCAGGTTTTCTTCTTTCATACCTTTTTAGTGTAGCAAATATTATCGTTATATTAATAATAATCATGACGTTAGGTTCATTGGCCATTAAATTCAAATGATTTCTCTCTAGTCTTTTTCGTTATTTATGTGGAAATAAGTACATATTTGTCTTTCAACTAGATATATATTCAGTTTTTCACAACGCGACGTGACGATATCGGTCGCTTAGCTTAGTGGGTTATTTACATTACTTCGTCTACAAAATATGGCTATCAACTTACATCTTGAGTGCGGAGACTAACATAAAAAACAAAATTAACGAGTTTGATTATAATTTTAAAATAATTTATAGGGGGTACAAAATTTAATTTTTATGAAACATAAAACTATAACAATATTGAACTAAGTCCAAAACTTTGAACTGTAAAAACCTTTCTCGAGTTTTGTTTATTACTTTAAGGCTACTACTTTATCGGCATTTTTTTTTCTTATTTAGAGCCACCTGCAAGTCCATCAGGAGAATTACCCGTTAGCATCGATCATCAGCATGATGAGACAAATATGCCAAGCAACCTTACAAGGAACGATGCCAACTGTGACAAGACCGGCACATGTTATGACGGTAAGTAAAAATCGTTAACAATAAATAACAATCGTTAATCGTTAAAAGATATCGACGGGTCAACATTAGTCGGATGTATTCTTTCACAGTATCCGTTCACTGCAAAGACACGAGAATCGCGGTCCAGGTTCGGACGAACAAACCTTTCAATGGTCGTATCTATGCTTTGGGACGTTCAGAAACTTGCAACATCGATGTCGTGAACAGCGACCTTTTCCGTTTGGACCTCACCATGGCTGGACAGGATTGTAACACTCAGAGCGTCGTAAGTAACAATCAGACCGGATCCGCGTGGTTATTGACTTGAAATTTATTATCTTTGTTCTGTGGCTGACGTGAAATTCATTTCAGACCGGCGTCTATTCCAATACCGTGGTTCTTCAACATCACAGCGTTGTTATGACAAAAGCAGACAAGATTTATAAAGTGAAATGTACTTATGACATGAGCTCTAAGAACATAACGTTCGGAATGGTGCCAATCAGGTTAGTATGTTCGTGGATTCCTTGAGGTAACGGCACAGTTTGCACCCATCTGCACATCGGCAAGACAATCGTAGAAAACGAATACGTGATGTGGAAATAAAGGGAGTCAAGTTAGGCATTTTAAGTCTGTTTTCGCAGGGACGTATAAATGCTATTTGATATATTCAATGGGTTTTTATATATTGTGTTTAGATTTTATTTTGTAAAATGATAACAAATAGAAATTATTTATTAATCTATATATAACATTTATATATATAACTCGCTATATTTTTTACAAAATTTCACCAGTCTATGTTATAATTAAATTTATATCTTCAGCTTTTTATTCTTAACTTTATTATGATACATTGATTTTCGAAGATTACCCAACGGCTATGAAGCTAAGTTCATACTGATACAAACCTTGGAGTTTAATGCCGAAACTAGTTCAATATTTGTGATAAATAATTATTTATATTAATAATATTATTAATTATTTATATTAATAAATAATTATTAAATTATAATTTATATTGGTAGAAAGCAATTGTCAGTCATTGGCATCATTGTAGGTATTTTAAATGCAGTGATATAAAGAAAAAACCGTTAGGCGGTCGTAATGAACCTAGTAAATACTATTCAAAACATGATTCAAATGTTACGCCGACCCCACCTAGGGGCAGGAGAAAAAATGAGCGATAAAAGAGATTGTGTTTGAATAATTAAGGAGCGTAGCAAGTAGTAGATTTTCTTACAAAATCTTTGAACGCAATCGAGATAAAGAGAAACTCTTAACGGATTATTTATACCTTTACGTTAACGACAGGGATCCAGAGATGATTTCAATTACCGCTGCGCCTGAAGCACCTCCTCCACGCATCCGCATCCTGGACAGTCGCGACCACGAAGTCGAGACTGTGCGCATTGGAGATCGCCTCACTTTCCGCATTGAGATTCCGGACGATAGTATGTGTTTTGTTTACTTAATGGCCTTAAAGGCTGTTAATGTCCTACTAGTTAAAAGTTTACAGTTCATTTTGACATCGCATAACAATACTCAGATGTTTGGTCTTTTGCTTTAAATTAATACCGTTTTTTGTTCCAATCCCCTAGCTCCGTACGGTATATTCGCTCGTAGCTGTGTTGCGATGGCTAAGGACTCCAAGAGTACATTCACGATCATCGATGACGAAGGGTTAGTATAAAATTAAAATAAACTGACAAAATTGTCTAAATGTTCTTAATGGTTATTACATGTTGTAAGAAAGTAATTTAATTTTTCTAGTAGATAAGTTGTGGATTTAGCATAAAAGTATAAGGAACAAAAGTGTCACAAAACAACTCCTATTCAATATTCTTACAGATGTCCAGTGGATCCTTCAATATTCCCAGGATTCACTCCAGATGGCAACGCTCTGCAATCAGTGTACGAAGCTTTCCGATTTACAGAATCCTATGGTGTCATATTCCAATGCAATGTTAAATACTGCCTTGGACCTTGCGAACCGGTGAGTACCTGTTTCGTTTAATAGTTGCCAACAAAAAATACTTACCAGTTTTTACGTAATAAAATTTCGTGTGGGTAATATTAGTAACGGTTATGTATAAAATTGCCAGGCATTTGTCACGGTACTCATTCAGCGACTTAGACCAATGGTATTTTAGGACCTTCAGAGAATGTAATGGCCTTAGAAAAATCACGTTTAGTAACGGCAACCGAATAATTACAACGATATAACATGACCTGAGTTCAATCTTCTAAGTTCTAGCTTTTCAAGTTCATATGAATATGATAAATAAAACTAATAAAAAAATTGTTGTAAAACCAAAATTGTGAATTACCAGTAAGCTGGCATAGACGTAGGCAGATGACAAAAATTTCGACTGATTCCAGATTTTAGATTCTTTCCTTTACATACGAACCATATTAATTATGAGAATTATTGTAAGATTAATAATACACACTACATATGAGTCACATCTCTTGCAGGCTCTGTGCGAGTGGGGTAGGGAATCTCTGGAGTCATGGGGAAGAAAGAAGCGTTCTCTGCCCGGTAATGAAACCGAAGAGTCTCACAATAAGGAAGAGAATATGAACATTTCTCAAGAAATCCTCGTTCTGGACTTCGGTGATGACAGACAAAGCACAGATTTTCTGCGCTCTGACAAGCCTGGTGGAACCGCCTCTGAGACTAACTTCGGCGGTGAGATAACTTACTCCTCTTTTAGAAAACTGATTCTGAGCTGGCATATATTTTTATTCTTACTAAAAGACAAGAATGTTGATTAAATAAATTCCCACATTTAATAATGTCAATTTTATTGGAACAGTAATTTCAAAGTCAAAGTTTCTTTATTCAATATATGCTCATTTTAAGCGCTCATTAAACGTCAAAAAACTACCTAGGTTACTGGTTCACTAAACTAGACCTGCCAAGAGAAGAACCGACAAGAAAATCTGCGGTCTTGTTATCTTACTTCAGAGACGACAGTCTAGTTTTTTTTAATGCGAGAAGGTGGCAAGCGAGCTTGCGTTTCACCTGATGTTAAGTGATAACCGCCGCCCATGGATATTTGCAACACCCGTATGGTTGCATATGCGTTGCCAACTTATAATAAAGTGGGCGCCGGCTACCTCACCCGACGAAACGCAGAAGTATGGTGCTTGAAGTGAAAGTGTCAGATGGTGATCAATCCCATTCGTGTAACAGCCGAATCTGTTGCGTGGCCCTACCATAGTTAGTTTAAAATTAGTAAAAATGTATACATTTTTATAATTACAGAGAGAACAGTTACCATCGTCGAGCCGTGCCCGAGCAAATCTTCAGTTTTACTACTAGGAGTTGCCTGCGCGCTCCTTGTACTGCTTTACATCGCAACCATATTCTGTTATTATATGCGCAAATGGCTTGCGCCACCCAAGCACATGTCATAAGCATTTAGTCAGCGCAATACCTGAAGGCTTTTCGTAGCTTCAATGTTGATTTTACATGGAGAAACTTGTGATACAGAACATCGTGCGCCATTACTTAGTAAAATAATAACAGCATACTGCTAATATCGTAAGGCAATTAAAAAAAAAGATGGCAAGAATATCAGCATTCATAATTCATGTAGCATTTAGCAAGCATTTATAAAGATAAGTATTTTTAGACATCCAGTTTTCTTTTTATTATAATCGTCTTAAAGAGCAATAAATACTTAGCCGTGTTTACTTGATTATATAGCAAACTGGTACCCACGAATTTAGGATAGTTTTGGACGATGCATTTACTAGAAAATATTAATTAGATTATTTTCGATAAACAAAAGTTTGTACAATTATCGCAAATTATATTAGGTGCAATTGTTAAATGTTGTTTGGAATAATCCCTAAGAAATTGTACTCAATCATAATTTTTTCTGCTCATAATTTTAGGGGAATATTCTGAATGTAAATTATTGGATTTCTTTTAAAGTTTATTGATATAAGGTTAAGGTCAACACAATGCATAATCATGTCTATCTAGTATTTTAAATTTCAATGAAGTAATTATGTCTGCATTACATAATTGAAAATTACTAGAATTGTAATAGTTTTGTACATAGGCTGTATTATGTCGATTCGGCATTGAACAGTTTAAAATGTTCTTTCAGGACTTTCAGTTGGGTTTTGTTGAAGCTTTTATAAAGTGGTGATGAGAAAGCCATCCTTGATATCCACATGCTTCACCTAACCCAACTTGAGATTTCTTAATTTATTTAGAATATAATACTTATTTATTTCTTAAACATATTAAATGAAATAAACTTGTACAAATTTACGAATTTTTTTATTTTATCTCATTTATCATAAATCACAGGCAATAAATATAAAGATTCATTTTCAAATAGATCACTTTTTCGAGTGGATCACTTCTACACTTTTTCTATCTCTATTTTAATTTAAAACATTACTTGGTTAACTTTCAACATTTTCTAAAATCAAATTGTTATATACACTATTTAGGATCTCTTCCTGTGTATTAGGATCCATATCTTCAAATGTGCAATTAAAAACATTTTCAAAACTATTTAACAATATTGGAGTAACCTTTTCTGTTGAATATGCCATTCCGGTTTCTTTAGTTAAGGATGTAACCCCTTTATCTGTAATGCCACAAGGATCGATATGGCTAAACCATGATAGATCATTATCACAATTAAGTGATATACCATGAGTTGTGATATATCTGGAGGCATGTATTCCAATAGCTGCAATTTTATTGTCACCGACCCACACACCAGTGTGCGGTGATCTTCCTGCCTCAACCCCTGAAATCACATCCATAGATTTTTATTATCAAAGAATAAGCTTAATGCAATGTGATACTACATCTGAATTCAGATTTACAATATATAGTAAATTAGCTGTCCTGACAGACTTTGTTCTTGTTTTTCCTATAGTATTTTAACCTTTCATGGACCTTAAGGAACATAGAAAAAAAAAAATAAGTCAAATTGGTCCCGCCATTCTTGAATGCGCTTACTTTTTATTTATTAAGATTATACAATAACATGTTTGTCTCAATTTATAAAGAAGTATGCGCTTGAATCGGAAACAATAAGTTAATACACTAATGCCCGGTTTCTGAAACGCTGATAATCTTTTTGTCAACTCAAATAAAATTTGAAAATCCATTTGACAGCTGATTAGTTGACTTCTATGATGATCAGTGTTTCAAAAACCGGTCGTAAGATTCCCTCATTAGTGAAAAAGTCTCTCATTAGTTTCATTCACAACAGGCTCATCCCTTGTCATGTTTAAGAACCTTTTATGAATGGTGATAATGGATGGCAATGTAAGTTTTAATGTTTTTCTTTAATAATTAGAAATGAAAAACTACTAAAAGTACAATCAGTCAACAAATTACTAATGGTATAATGGTTAGAATTTAAATAAGATATAATGCTATTGCTAAAAACCAGTTGAGTGCCAGTCGGACTCCCTCACTAAAGGTTCCATACCATTAACCATAAAAAAGGCAAAAATATCATGTCTGAGGGAGCCCCACTTAAAACATTTTTTATTATGGTTTTTAGTATTTTTTGTTATAGCGGTAACAGAAATACATTATCTGTGTAAATTTCAACTGACTAACTCTAATATATATAATATAATCACGGTTCATGAGTTTTCACGGTGGTTGGGCCACGCAAGTGTTCGCTGTTGAACGAATGGGCAGGTCCGTCCGGGTTAGTACCACGACCTCACAGAAGACCAGCGTAAAGTAGAAATGTTGCACTTCTGCATTTCGTTTGGTGAGTGACGTAGCCTGGGCCCACATTATTAAGAGGTGGCAACGCATCTGACCCCCTATGGGTGTTGAAAATGTCCATGGGCAGGCAGTTATCACTTAACATCTGGTGAACCACCAGCTCTTTTGCCCCTTCCTCACATAAAAAAAAATCACCGCCTGGTGACAGACAGACAGACAGAAAGTGGACTCTTAGTAATAGAATCATGTTTTACCCTTTGGGTACAGAACCCTAAAAAGGGTATTTTTGGCATACCTCACCTATTAACAAAACAACATGTTCTACACAGCTTAATGTTAGAATTCATAAATTTCTTTAAACATATATAAGGTACATACCTAGTTCATCACAGAGTTTTATGACAATTTCTTCTAAGGATTTAACATACCATTTTACACTAGTCTTATAATTTTTCAGGTTGATTATGGGGTACACAACCAATTGGCCTGGTCCATGAAATGTAATAAGACCACCTCGATTAGTCTTACGAAATTCTGCACCTAAGCTGCGTAGCCTATTTATTTCCTCTTTTGATGTTTCATCTCTAATACCTGAAGAAAAATTTTGACATTATGATTTACTGAGGTTAATTTTATTTAACAGCATTTTGTATATGAAGACAAAAAGGACAAAAGATTTACCAACAGTATACACAGGTTTATGTTCCACTAATAGAAGCGTATCGAGATTAGCATTCTGACCATTCATGAGAGCATTTAAATGTTTTCTCGCAAGGACTTGTTGTATTTTATGAGCAGTATCAAAACTTACAAGACCCAGTTTCCAAACTTTAACCATGTTTTTAAGAACTTTGTATTAATTTTAAATGAAAGTCATAAACTATTTAATGGGTAGCTTTTAATTTTGTTATTTTTTTTTACGCCAAAAATTACAATTAAAAATAAAAATAATAGTTGACAAACGTGAAACGTCATTTTGACAAGCATATATTTGACATTATTCTTTTTCGAGCAGTGATTTCATAAAAAATAGAAATGGTATTAATAAGAGATGTTTTTAATAAGAGTAACTGCTTTCTACACTTAAAAATATGAATTATTTAGTGTTCCATAATAATTTAAATAATATTTGATGTATGTAAGTTAGAATGAATATTTAATTCCATGGATGTGAAATAGCGCTATCTTGAGGATAATGTTAGTATCTTTAATATTATCTTTTCCTCATTTAAGATAAATTTTAACTAGTTTAGCTACTCTGCACTAGATGTCACTCAAGCTTAGAGCGGTCTTAATTTTGCGCGTTATACAAAAATTGTTGTAGACTTGTAGAGTGCTTCAGATTCAGACGGGTCAGGTCAGCTCGCGTTCAGTAATCTCGCGTTCTTAGCTACGAGGGCGGTGTTTTGGACGTTACGTAAAGCAGCTGTTAGTGTCAACATAACAAATAGCGTTTCGGAAGTTAACTTGTTTAAGATAGATAAAAACTAAAAATTATTTTAAATTACGGTCACAAACTATTAAGATATGAAAGAAAACAATTGCACTTGATCTTTTATGTTGTAACTTTTTATCAATAAGTGCCGCGTTTTTATGCTTTGTTTGTTTCTCCAGATATGCAGAATTGGTTTAAACGATGACGATATGGGTAAATATGGGCATGAATAAATTATATTTGTTTTCAATTTTCCTTTTCGATAACTGCATGCACTATTTTGAGTTAGGTTTTATGTATATTATTTAATTAATATATGATCATGTTACAGGTGTGTTTTGGTAATGTAAACAAAACATAATAATTATACTGTTGCTATATCTACTACATAAAGTTTTATTATTTGGAATCGCCGTGTTAATTTTAGGTATATATTCATTTTCACAGCACTGTTTTGAAGTTATAGTGTGACTTCAGATTTGTTACTTTTTATTGACTGTTTGAGTATTTTTTATATAATTTTGTCAAACAAAATTATGTGCGTTTATATTTTCACAGCAACACTCCAATTTTCATAATACTGGTATCGTTAGTACAAGGGTTAAAAGCGGCTATTGAGGTAAACAATAGCCAGTTGTAGGTAGGTGAAACAGGAAGGCGGGTGCTTCCGTGCGTCCCGCTGACTATTAATATCTCACCATTAATATGGGGGTGCACTCTGTGGGGCGTCTACATGTCAATCGTGTTTCTCACGGCTTTACGTCTGTAATCAAAAAAAATCTTGTATCGGCAGCGGCGTTCACCGCAATAATTAAAATATGGATGATATCGCTTTGCAATAACCAAATATGAGTATAATATAGTATAACTCTCAGTACATAATTCAAAATGTTAGACTGCGCAGAAAAAGTAAATCTTATATGGAAAACATTCAAAATGTTTTTTTTTTAAATCTTTATGCACACACTAGTACAAAAACGGACTTAATGCCAATGGCATTTTCTACCAGTCAACCTTATGATGGTGTAGAGAAAGTGTGGTAGGTGCACAGATATTATGTGTGGAACGATAAAATATTTTTTACTCTATCACAAATAAAAAAATTGTCTTTGTATTGGAATATAAGCTGGAACAAACAGTAGACAGTGAAAAATAGGCAATTTTTAAAAGTACGTGTAGTAAGCTCGTTGAAAGCTTGTTGACATTGAATGACTAATTGGCTTATTGCTCGGTCGGTAAAAATGCCGACCGATTAATTTCGGATATAGCATCTAAAACTAAGATTACTTTTGAACAAAACTTGAAATTGATGAATTTGATCATCAAAGGATCAATCAATTTTTATGTGTTGTTTAATAAAATGAACCGTTAAAATTTGTAGAAAAATGGATGAAAAGTTTTTTGCCACCATGGGAATCGAACCCGTGTCATCTGGTGTCGCACCTTACCCACTAAGGTAAACGGCTGATTGCCACACCGACGAAGATTTAAACGATTTTTTTTTCTAAGTACATGGTAGCGAGCTGGCGGTTTACCTGATGTTAAGTAATAACCACCGTCTATGGACATTTGCAACAGCCGTAGGGTTGCAGATGTCTTGTCTCCTTTTGATAAAGTTGGCCCCGGATACGAAACTCACCAGATGAATCGCAGAAGTAACAGTTCCACTTCACACCGGTCTTCTGTGAGGCCGTAGTACCTCTCCGGACGGACCTGCCCATTCGTGCAATAGCAAAGACTGTTGCGTAGCCCTACCATAATAAGATTATATTGTTTTTTCTCATTTTTAAGCAACGCGTGGCCCCACTCATTGCTTACAGCGCACAAACCATTTTAAATAACGTTTTACAATGAGAATTCGAAGGAGACGTGACGCCTTTGTAAATGAAATTTAATTTTTTTATTATCTTTTAATAGTGTTAGAATTATAAATTAAATTTCATTTACAAAGGCGTCACGTCTCCTTTATATATTATATATAAATATATATATATCGTGTCACGATCATTTACATACTTATTTTTCGATTCCAGATCTTTGCTTTCTTTATTTTTTATTTTTTGTCCATCCAGATGATTTTGTTCTATGTCCTCCTTTTTTTGTAAGTTCTTTCTTTTGTGAAAAACACCAGTTCAGATTTTCTTATTATTACGTCGGTAAGATCGAATACTATTCTGCATATTTCATTACTCAGTAATTTGTGTGTAAATTTGTGTGTAAAAATACTTATACTTTACTTTATCTAACACTTTGTCGAGTTATTTATATAACCCAAGGCCCAGACGTCACGCTTTCTTCTTGCCCGAAAACTGACCAATGTTTGAATACCAAATGCAAGTCGACAGCACGCTCGCAACTTCACCTGTGTTATTCGAGACTAATAGCTTACTTATAGTACGCGCCATCAGCTGAACAGCTTAGTCGGTTGGCATTTCCTCGAAACGAATTACAACCACAATACTTTCGCAATTTCTTTTCAACTTCCCATTATACGGTTCTCTTTCTACCTACACTTTCCTTATTTTACAATTAATAAAACTTTTGTCCAGTGTCACGCCTAGCATTTTAATTAATGACCGCATCCGAAAAGGCATAAATGGCATTTAACGACTAACTACACGAGTAAGGCACAAACTTTCAAAGACATTCTTTTTCTAAAATATCGCATCTTCTCTTTTTACACCAAACGTATTAATGATGCTGCACTAAATTAAATATTACATCAGAACAGTATGTCTCGTCTGTCAAGGGACCATTGATGCTGTTGCGCACTCAAAACTTCGGGAACAAAAGTTAAATTACGAACATGAAAGACGAGCGTTAGGACGTAAAAAAAATTTATGTTGTTATATAAATTTTATTAGTACTGCTATAAAAATAGTGATTTTTCGTATTTTTGATTTATAATGTAATAGCCCGTTTATCTCGTATCACAGTTCATGGGGATAAATCCACGTGTAATATCTTATCGGTCTACGTGGCGGGATCACAATTCCGTTGTCATGACAACGACGCAGTAGGCTTGCAGGCTGCGTGACGCGAATGTCAAACTTGCGGGTCGATACCCGCAATTTTTCCGAGGACCACGGCTCGATGCCTGAGATATCTGATCTAAATCAATGCTTTTTAGTTAGCCGATATTCCTTAAATAGCAGTTCCTCTCTTAAGTACCGAAATAGCCTAAGATATAACGAGGAGGAGCAATACTGTTCACTGTTTTCTTTTCTGTTTCACTTTCGAATTACTATTTTCTCAACATGTGGTAGTGAAAGATCAAACTAAGTAGACAATGTTCACCGATTAGCGCCGCTCATTGACATACAAACCAGTTCAATAGCAGACGCGTTTCGAACTTCTAAGAGTATGGGTTTCCGGTTTTCTGAATTATCAGATGAAGGCGAACGTAGTAAGTTTTCTAATACACGCGGGTCTTCTGTGAAGTTTCTTTCTTTTCCTTGTCGAGATGGTCCGATATGCATCTTACTGTTTGATCATTTTACTCATTGATAGTTCAGATTTCATTAAAAAAAATACTTTCGCTTTGTTGTTGACATTAAATGAACCTCATATCGATATTTTTACTGTGGTTAATACCTTTATTTTATTAGGTTTGATTTAATAAAACATTTCTAGCACTAGGAAATATATACCGTGACGCAAGATTCCCACAAACATGAATATTTCACACAGAAAATACACCAGACTCGAGTTAAAAGGTACACCTGAACTTGTTATTTTGTGGGGACCGAATTCATACCACGCTTGCAACAGAAATTGACAAGCTTAATCCTCAGTCACTTGTAATTTTACTTTTATGCGAAATTCGATAAAATCTATCCTTTACACCTTCGTCCACTTCTTTTTTTCAATTCCGTAAGTTTTTTAAAGTAGTAGATTTCCAATCTCTAATATTTAAAAAACAACGTCACGTCTAACTTTTTGTTCTCAACGTAGCATTACTCCACTCTGGCACGACTCTAAATAATTTAAGGTCATCAATGTTACTTAAAGCTTAGTCGCCGATCTTTCAAACTTCGTTTAATTTATAGTCATTTAAAACGTAATATTTTGTTGAAGAAAAATTTCAGAAACAGATTTTAAAACACTTTTGTAACGCAATATATATCCAATTAAGGCAAAAATAAAGATGGCTGTATGTATGTAAAATCTTCCGCATAATATAGTCGAGCCGTTTTCCTCCGAGTCGACTAATTAAGCAGTAAAAAGCGTTTCCACGCCAGTGTAATTCCGTGGCGAATGGACGAGTCGCAGTTGGTAGCAGGGAGTGAGTTATCACTGGTATTTAATTATTCATGAGCCCCATCGGATAACTCCGAGAGACTGTGTCCGTCGTCCTTCAGGGGTCTTGTAATTTGCACTCGACAAGGAGTTCTGAATTTCTC